CATGAGTCCAAGCCCTGCAAAGGACATTCGGGGGTATGCCCCTGAAGATTTGAAAGACTAAAGTGTTAATCTGTACATTTTAATGCATATTGATTGTAAGAAAATCATGTAGGAATTAATGTCAGTGCCAACACATAGCTAGAAATTGTATTGTAGCTTCTTGTAGGGCTGTGTAATGACTGGAACCTGGTGATACGATAGGGTTACAATTCAATGTATTGCAATACTGAATTGCATTTGTATTTATCGCAGTACACTGCTATCTAGGAGTTGGGGGGTTGGTTAAACACAAAATAGATTTTGAGAATTGATTATCAAATATTTAGATTATTATGAATATTATGATACTATATACTGTATATATATAGTGGTTGTAGCCAGGTTGGGACTGATGTACTGTATCTGTGCCCGTGGAAATAATCAATTTTAAATTTGGTGTTTGCTTCACCCACCAAATTGAAAAAAATGGCATGTGCAATATACAAACTGCAAAAGAAGAAAAAGGTGCGGGACATTTTTTGTATTCAGCAAAGGCGTATATATAAATATTGAAAATGGTAGATACGGGCCTGGTCAGAATAAAAGAACAGTTAAAAATGATCAGGAAAACTATAAAAAGACATGCATTCAGTAACTTGCATCTCTTTTATATTTTTAAACTGTGAGTTACAGCTTGATGTTATATTGTGTGTATACACACTGTTTTTAATTAAGGGAGCAAGTTGAAAAAGTGTAGTTCAGCATTCTGTTTCAATGACGATGAGTGTCAGACAGTCCACTCCAAAACTAAAACAGAAAATGAAAATGGTAATGCGTGGTATTAAAATTCTATTACTATCCAAAAAAAATAAAAAATCCACATTTAGGCTGGCCACACTGGTGATGATGAGTGTGTTAGCTGGAGGAAGCAGCAGCTGGATAGAGTAGGGGTACAAGAACAGCCTGGGGCTGGGGTTTGAATGTCAGCTGGAGCACCTCTTCAGTAATGAGACAAACTGAGACAGGTGATGTGTGAACCCCCTGGGAAGCTGCCTACATGTGCCTCAACATCCACATGTGACCAGATGCAGATGCTGCAAAAGGATATTACTGGTGAGCCCCTGTCCCTCACCTGACATCAGGTGAGACTGGCTGGAGTTCGTCCACTGACACTGACTATGTGTCTCACTCTGTGAACTCAAATAGAGCACTGAATTGAAGAAATGGTTAGTTAATCTATTATTAACCAAGTAGCTGTACTTCTCAGTGCCTCAGTAGAGCTTTTACCCATTCAGAAGTTGTGCATAAATAATAATAACTTGATGTCTGTTTGTCAGTTGCCATTAATCCAAGTAGGTGACTTTGTCCTTGGCTCTCTTATTGACACTAGATGTTAGTGTGTGTTAGTGTGTGTGTGTGTGTGTGTTAGTGTGTGTGTGTGTGTGTGTGTGTGTGTGTGTGTGTGTGTGTGTGTGTGTGTGTTGGTGTTTTCTGCCTCTCCTGCCTTAAATCACAGCAGTGTGGCATCACTCTGAGGGAAAGAGTTTTTGGGTCAGGGCTCACGGGACTGTAGAAGAAGTCCTACAGTAAGTGCAGCAGAAGAAACCCAACTTACTAAGCACACACACACACACATACACACAGACCACTCTGATCATAACGTTACTGACACACACAAAAAGAGGGCTTAAAAGATTCACAAAAATATAATTTGAGCCCTAAAGATCTAATTGACATGTACATTCATATTTATAACTCTCTTCAAATTACTAAATGTGTGTGTGTGTGTGGGGAGGGGGGGTATGGTATGTTGACAGTGGTGACATTTTGTTAAAGGTCCAGTGTGTAACATTTAGGAGGCTCTATTTGCAGAAATAGAATACAATGTTCTGTCCTGTAATCACCTGAAAAGAAGAACGGTTGTGTTTTCGTTGGAAAGATCCACAGAGGGAGCGGCTCCTCTTCTATGGGCCTTTCACCTTTTTTGTGATTTTGCAGCCATCGTAGTTTATCTTACACGCTTGGAAGGAGAGGGTGAGGCGGGGGGTTTCAGTTGGTTGCAATCTGCAATCTCACTGTTAGGTTCCATTAAATCCTACACAGTAGGGATGCACCGATTGGGAGATTCTGGGCCGATACCAATAAAGATGTTTAAAATAACAATTTGTCCGAGTGCTGATACTGATGTTTTTTGTTGTTATTGATTTGCCCTTTTGCACTGGGAAACAAATAAATCTATGATGAGATAAAACTATAAGTAATATATAAATATAAAGATAAGATTTTTGCCTTGTTGCAGCCAGTACTGGGAGTAATGCATTATAGAGGAGCGCATTACTGTAATTTCACTACTTTTGGTGGTAACTTGTGATGCAACTAATTACATTTTCAAATTAAATAACACAATTACAATCACTGACATTTAGATGGGTGTGTTAGGTTTGTCCTGAAAATAATGACGACTGCAGAAAAGGGCAGACAAACACAGCGCATCCAAGCATATCCTGTTGATTTTTCTGGTTTATGAACTAACCTTACCCGACCTTACGCCTAAGCCATCACACGCAGAGCACACATCATTGCACGCGACACCAGGCACCGCCTCAGCCCATTTTTCACACTGCTCCCATCCGGGAATGCCTGGAATGGAAACGGGCTCACTATGGCAGCAGTTTTGTTCTGCCATACCATTATTCAACAAAACACCTCGGTAGCCATTTTAATTAATTGATATTATGTAAATGGGATGCATGTATAAATGTGCTGTTTGGATGTGTCCCTTGTGATTATGTTGTGTATGTGTTTATGCAAGGCTATGTACTGACTGTGGCAAATTCCTGGAAAGGACAATAAAGAATATATTGATCTAAAATCACACCTGACCTTATGGTGGCTCCAGACAGTTCAGTCCATTCATCAGATAATTGTTCATTAACTAACTACTGTAGCAAAGCTCAGTTAATGTTTGCATCTGTGTGGGTCATCTTCGACTAAATCCTCCTGTCTACTACTTGCAGCTCAGTTTGTTTTTCTTCTCATCCAAGATGTGAGACACGGAGCTGAACGAAAGCTCACTGTCTGTGCTGCTGCAGGCACAACAGCTGTATTGCATGCAATTTGTGTCTATGCTGGAATACGGAGATGATTATTTCTCCAGCATCTGATTCGGAAATAACCATTACAGAATTTGGGCAGTGCAAAATGAATGCAGCACAACAAACATCAGCCACTGACACTGGTGAATACCATCTTATTTACTGAAAATCCCATGTCAGTCAACAAGGCAAATATCAGTTGCTAGGGATATATCGGTGCCTCCGTACACACTGGTCCTTTGAGGCAAACAATAAAGCTGGCTTTAACTTGTCTGGGACTGCAACAGATATAGCTGCCATGAAAAAAAAAATGAGTTGAGAGCATTTCAGTGTAAGAAAAAGCTGAATTCCAGCTCAGAGTCAGCACTAGTTAATTAGAGACATGTTTCTCTTCAGGCAACTTGACTAAGGCCCATGGCTGAAATGTTTTACCTCTAATAAACTCTGTAGTGCTGACAGTGTACACACTTTCATTTTCCTTCACAATTAGAAAATACTGTGATCAGAAGTGTGCTTTGTCAAAACTCCAACTACCCCTAGCAGTGATCTCAGAGTTTTCAGCTGCTGTTAAGTTACTCTTTAAATAGCAGAAACTATACTTACTGTATATTCTGTTTTCATGACCTGCTTATTATATTCCAACACTGGTTTCCTGCCAGCATACAAACGTATCATTTCATGCACACCACATGTAGGTGTGAGGCTTTTGAAAAACAGTGTCAAGTAGCGCCTGCACTCTGACTCCAAACCACACATTTACAGGATTAACAACAATTCGAGTAGCATACAATGTATTACACAATGCAGAGACAACGACATGGTCCCCCACTGACCCTTCTGTCCTCTTCCATTGTCTCTCATTCACGGCTCTTGTTAGAAGCAGCTGAAGTTGAGCAGAGCTGCCTGCTTCGATCAGTGTCATCAGGGCTCAGCACACACATCACTTAGTGTGTGTGTGTGTGTGTGTGTGTGTGTGTGTGTGTGTGTGTGTGTGTGTGTGTGTGTGAGTGTGTGAGTGTGTGTGTGTGAAGTGTGTGAGTGTGAGAGTGTGTGAGAGAGTGTGAGAGAGTGTGAGAGAGTGTGAGAGAGTGTGAGAGAGTGTGAGAGAGTGTGAGGAGAGTGTGAGAGTGTAGAGAGAGTGTGAGAGAGTGAGAGAGTGAGAGAGTGTGAGGTGTAGAGGTGAGAGAGTGAGAGAGTGTGAGAGAGTGAGAGAGTGTGAGAGAGAGAGTGAGAGTGAGAGAGATGGAGGGAGAGCAATGAGGTGGAAAGGGATGAGAACAGATATCTGCTGGAATAGTTGTCCAATTAAAATTATACACCAGTCAGGCAGAGAGACAGACAGAACAACATGCAGGCTGCTGTTATTGACTTGATACCGACTGTTCTTTCACAGAGGTCAGTTCCCACACCCACACACACCCCTTTCCCCTGCTGGTTGTGTGTGTGTGTGTTAATCTGGGTTAGTCTCCTTTCCACTTAGTATGTCCTCAGTCCCCATTGTTCTATACGTTTCTACTGCACACAGATTTGTGTAATGTGTAGCATAAAGCATAGCCCTTTTTCATCAGTACACACAAACAACAATTACACATGATAATAAAATTTCCCCAGAGACAATGTACGAGGCAGGTTCACTGAGAGAAGTCAAACACTGTGTATCAGGGCTGGGTGATGTGTCTAATATATGAGTTATTAAAGGGTGGATAACAGTGTATAAAGTAGAATCTCTGGATATGGATAGAAGTCAACTATGAGTCTGTAAAAGCACTGTAAAACATTATAGATTATTGGATGATTCTTTACAATATCTCTTTATTTTTTTAGGGACTCATTATTTACTTTGTTCACAAAGGCCTCCTGAATTCATTCTGCAGCTGGTGTTGAAATCCAGTGTTTGCTAACCGTGTTGTGTCTGTGTTCCTACAGAGCTCAGGGATGGAAGAGATGGTCTGGGAGCAGTACACAGTCACTCTGCACCGGGTGAGTTCACTCACTAACTGTTGTTAAAACAAGAGCTCTGCATCTATCTATTAATCAGCCTGGTCAACCCTATTTAATCACATCTAAATGAAACACTGATCACATTTTCTCAATTACAGCCCATTAAATGTGTGTTCCAACAATGGAATAAATTGCCATTATCTCCTCCAGATCATATATCTACAGTGCAGATGATCATTATTCTAAAAATAGACCGGCTCTGACCCTAGCTAACTCACCCTTGGGCTGCTCCACTACTTATATTCACATCAGCAACCCCGTCTTTCAGAAATGATCTTTATGTAAAACTAATGTAAAACAGCACGAAGCATTTAGAAAAAAAAACAGTATTATCAACACAGTAATAAGAAAACATTGGTATTGTGTACACACACACACACACACACACACACACACACACACACATAATATCTATAGCATCACAGCAAACAACTATTTGCTATGTAAATATATAGTGGATTGAAGGTGTCCTGAGCAGAGAATGACGTCACAATCCCACCCCTTGTTTTTGATCCCTGACCATTGTTTACTTCTCCGGTCCAGCGGCACGTGCATTTTAGTGCATGTGAGTCTCTGCGTGTGGAACTGTTCTTTAAACAGAGTGACTGACGCTGCTGTTTTTCTCCTCCATGTCAGTTAATTAAGAATTTAATTTGACCAAAGCAGAGATTGTGATTGTTGGAACAGTGTAAAGACTAACAAGAAGTTTTTTGTGAGTTTTTATGTCTGTGTCCACTCTGAACGAAGTTACAATGTTACTGGTAAAATACAAGGTAAAATTACTGTTTTTGTCTATGGAGTCTGGTGGAGAGTGACAGTGATATTAGGATTGTTTCTGGTTAAACAAACGCTCTATCTCTGTAGGGATCCTTTCCATAATGTTGTCAGACACATATAATATAATATAGTCTGAGCCTATCAGTGGCAAAAACAAGCACTTTCAGTGGATGTAATTTGACTGTTTTGCGAATATTGTCACATCTAACTTGTTATTTGTGGCGTTGTTTATTACAACCAAACCAGCATTGGTGATTGCTGGAAAGACTGTAGAAGGAGTGGTTTTGGTTTGTGTCCAAAAAACCAGTGAAATTCCCTGATGTTCAGTACCCACTCGATACCACGGTATGTCCCAGTTTTCTTTAGATTTTTGCCCCCAATCCCCATGTAATATTGAATATCTACTGATACTCCCGATCCAATACTTGTATTTTACTTAATAATACAGGTGAATAGCTCTGCATTGCATTCAGAAAAAAATGTCCTGCTACCTTGCTGTTCCTTAATATTTTTTCATACATAATATATTCATATTAATATAGCCCATTTTATATAAAAAAAAACCAAAACTCTCTCTGTAATCTTTTTTGATCTTGGCAATCTGGTCTTGTCGCTGTGTATTCGCTGGGAATTTCTCTCTCCGTTTTTATAATGTCCTGCAGAGTTTGTTGCTTCATTGCAGCCTTTACCTGAGTTACCTGAATGAACTGGATTCTGCTGAATGTTTGTTTTCTCCATCTGCACGGATTACATTAATTGCTTTTAGCTGCTTTTTGTTTGCGGGGCTTTTGTTGCACTTGCAGTGGCGTGGCAAGTGTGCGGCTGCTCTCTGTCTCCTCTCTGACCCGGAGCTCTCAGCCCCGCCCGTGGCGGTGTTTCACTGCGAGTAGGGCTGAGCTCCTCGTCACACACACACACACACACACACACACACACACACACACACACACACACACAGAGCAAGCAGAGAGCTGACGATGGAGCATTGTGCACAAAAGCTTCACTGACTAGAGTGGCATATACACCGATCAGCCATAACATTTTGAGCACTGTAAGGTGAAGTGAATAACACTGATAATCTGGTTATCATGGCTCCTGTCAGTGGGTGGGATATATTGGACAGCAACAGAACATTTTATCCTCAGAGTTGATGTGTTAGAAGCAGGAAAAATGGGCAGTGCGAGGATCTGAGCGACTGACCAAGGGCCACATTGTGATGGCTAGACGACTGGGTCAGAGCATCTCCAAACCTGCAGCTCTTGTGGGGTGTTCCCGGTCTGCAGAGGTCAGTACCTATCAAAAGTGCTCCAAGGAAAAGAACCAGAGACAGGGTCATGGGGGGCCAAGGCTCATTGATGCACGTGGGGAGTGAAGGTCGGCCCGTGTGGTCCGATCCAACAGACGAGCTACTGTAGCTCAAACTGCTGAAACAGTTAATGCTGGTTCTGATAGAAAGGGGTCAGAACACACAGTGCAGAGCAGTCTGTTGGTATGGGGCTGCAGAACATTATTGACAGAATAAAACAGAATGTTATGGCTGATCGCTGTATACTGCTCCATCAGGTCTGGGAGAATTGCATCCTCGCACTGTAGAAAAAAATGAGTACGGTCATGTTTTCAAAATTTTGGTATCAATTTGGTACCGAAGTATTGGTTCTCATGACATCCCTACTGTCCAGTATGAAGTGTGTTTTATGATTATCTGTTTGATAAAATGTTTAGTTTTGTCAGTGGAGTATGGTGGCCCATAGTGGAGATGTTGTTGTCTAGTGCAACATCTAGTAGCAGTGAATCTCATGTATAGCCTTTAATATTGAATAAAAGTCAGTGCTGACTTGAGGCCCAACACATAATCTGTCTTAAAGTACAAGTGTTGTAAAGTCTTTCAGTATTTTACACAATATCTTTCCCTATTCTAGCCTTAAGCAGGGTTTATAGTCGTCTTATCCTAAGCTCTTTTGAGATACAGTCTTTTATACAGTCTACATGTGAGACACACCTCCTCTCTGGTGTCAAAGTCCTGTGCACCTCTACCACCTCCCTACAACTTCTGTGCAGTACAAGGAGGTAACACATCATCATTGAGGAAAATTACAGCAGCAATCATGTTTCCTTCAAAACTTACCAAGTAAAACAATTAAGTTGTTATTCCGATCTTCTTAATGAGACAGGGATGACCAGATCAGATGCTGTATATTTTGCAATACACATGAAGCAAACAATCATCCTAGCTGGATAGAAAAGACAATAACTGGGGGGAATTCCCTCTGTCAGCAAAACCAATAAATACCATCAGAGTTTCAGAAACAAAACAATGAGCACCTCAGTAAGTGCCTGTTGGAAGGTAGCTGACACCAGTTTAAACTCTCAGCCCAGTTTGGCTCAGTGTTTTCTGTCTGAATGTACTGTATTTACTAATGGAGTTCTCTTTCTGCAGGACTCTAAGATGGGTTTTGGCATTGCTGTGTCAGGTGGGCGTGACAACCCCAACGTGGAGAACGGTGAGACGTCAATCATCGTGTCAGATGTGCTGCAGGGAGGACCGGCAGATGGATTACTCTTGTAAGTCTGTCAAACAGTGAGCAAAATCCTCCTCTGTGGAAAATGCTTCAAGAATGACTGAATTCCCCGCTGTAGAATCCACAACCTCCCCACACAGCTCTATGGCCATGAATGTTCTCCCCAACTGTACGCAAGGTCAAAAAAGTACAATACATCATTATCCCCAAGATGATCTCTGTTGACAAAGCTGACGAGCCATAAATCAGTCTAGGACAATTTTCTTTCTGCAATCAAGTTTAGTGGAAGTACACACAGAGCAGGACTGTGTTAATTATTAAACATTTTTACTGTTGACATTGATTTTTATTTGTGTGTATTGTTTTTTTGTCCAGTGAGAACGATCGTGTCATTCAGGTCAACTCCATCCCCATGGACAACGTGCCTCATTCCTTTGCTGTGCAGTCCCTCCGTAAATGTGGAAAAGTGGCCAAAATAGTGAGTATGAACCATAGAAAAGGAAGACACAGAGTGTTCTTTTGCAGAGTAAAGGTGATGTTTGTAGATGCTCACAGCTCTGAGTCACACTGTCAAAAGAAAGGTAAAACATGATGGTTTCTCAGGGGGACCTTTGTTAGGACAAGCACCATCTGTGAGTCACACTGCACAATGTGTCAGTCAGTGTGTTTATTCTTGTTAAGCACTGAATCAGTCTGATGGAGCTTTCTAAATATCACTATGTACCTCTCCCTCTGTCGCTGCCTACAGGAAAGCTCTCATATCCCGTGCTTAGTGGCAGGTGGTGGTCGGTAACATTGCACATTTTATCTTAAAAGCAAGGTAGCCTTTACATGTATGTATGTATGTATGTATGTATGTATATATGTATATATGTATGTGTATATATATATATATATATATATACATATAATTGTAGACATCATTTTATATATTATGTTGTCAAACAGAAAAGGGCAATAAACATGTTAAATCACAATATTACCAACCCTGTTAAATAATCAGTTATGCCATTGCTAAGCTCACAGTTACCTAGTATTATAGTAACTGACCATGCCATAAAAAAAAATTACTATGAAGGAGTGCCACAGTTAAAAAAAAAAAAAGAGGTTTTTCTGGGTAGTGGAAATTGTCTTAAAATGAAGATGAGAAATGGGATATGACTTCCAGTAGTCATACCTCCAGCCTGCGTTCCAGTGAACACAGTTGGCCGTGTTCGTACAAACCAATGATAATTAACTTAGTTCTGGGAGCCATCAGAACTCCAACAAACCTCTAGAGAGCTACTGTGGAAGCTGTCCTCCAATAGGAGTTTTACACCAAATAAAAAGGAAATAGCACTGGTTTCCTGTCACGTGGGGCAGAGCATTCCAAAAACTGGAAGTCATTTTGTTTTTTCTCAAGATTGTTGTGATTGTGAGCTTGGCTGCTGTGTGAATTACTCTGCTACTGGTCAGTTTGGAAACCTCCTCCACCCATATACTGCTGCCTTTAGTCAGTGGAGACGGAGCAGCTGAAAGGTCTGAGGCAGATCACTGAGTCATCGCTGCAGCTCTGCAAACACAACAAACACTACAGAGAGATGGAGGGAGAGGACACACCCTCAGCACCAAACAACACTCTGAGTGGGAGTGTGTCTTGTGACTAGGGTCAGTGCTGTTATGCTGCGACCTACTGTACACCCCCACCACACACACACAGTGCAATGCAGGGTGATAACGACTCATTTAGGAGTTCTTTGTTAAATTTAGTTTAGCTGCTTCCATTTCCACACACTGATCACATCTGTCAGCAGGATCATTACAGGTCTGTGTGTCATGTAAGAAGCCATACTGTTATCATAACAATAATTAACCTTTCCTAAGCCCCGCCTCTTTTTGCTTTGTGCTCCAATAACACTCGGTCAGAACCAATCAGCTTTCTCCTTTCCTGTACTCGTCTGTGTTGAAAAGACAACCCCGCTTTGAAGATTAAAGATATAAGCAACATATATATATAGTATATATATAGTCACATCTTAAGTCAGCTTGTGAATGTACGCTAACGCTAGCTTACTAGCCAGCTAATCTCCATCAATCATTAGTTAGCTAGCTAATTTACATCAATTATTAGGTAGCTAGTTACATTTAAACGTTTCAGTGTCTCCTGAAACATAAAGTCAACATAATTGACCCTTTTAAAGCATATTTATGATGTTGTACAATACACTTAGTATGCTGTATAAAACCATTTGGTGTATTATATGTAACAATGTGGTGGGATATATATTCATATATGGGGTAAAAGAGGAGGATAGGGCCTGATGTGGTTTACCATTATTGGAGCTTATGCCGAGTCTCTATATTATTACATTATAAATACATTTTTATTTTAAATCTTGGAGAGGGGAGGACGAGAGCTGAGGACCAGAGTGCAGAGGAGCAGCACTCACTATCTGCTCTGTTGTAGCACTGTACATCCACAGGAACAGATTGTGTGTGTGTGTGTGTGTGTGTGTGTGTGTGTGTGTGTGTGTGTGTGTGTGTGTGTGTGTGTGTGTGTGTGTGTGTGTGTGTGTGTGTGTGTGTGTGTGGTTTTAAGACTCCTGCACAGTAATGCCTCAGGTTTTCAGCCTGGCTGCCTCTCACGCTGCTGCAGCTCTAAAAGTAGCAGCAGTTGTCTCCCGTGTGTGTACCAGACTAATCTCACTGCTCCGCACAGTTAAATATAAAAGCCTGACATGTCGAGGGAATCTGATTTGCTTTCACGACATCCAGCTGCATCTTTATTCTCACTCCTGTCTGAGAGAGAGACATAGAAGCCATGTACTTTAAAGCTAGGTTTCTTTTTTATGTCTTTCTTTTAGATTTTTTTTTTTGGTCTAATTGAACAAACAGGTCAGTCAACAAGAAGAACAAGTAGATACACATTTTTGACAAAATATTCCACTCAAGGTCCACTAGCTTTTTCTAGAACTTTTAACCACATCTTGTGGCCTTAATTAGTCTGTGGAGCTTGCTCAGTTTCCATGGAGTTTGCTGTGGTGTCAACTAGAAGTCATTTCTTTTTTAAAATGTAACGAAGAGAATGCAAAAGTACACAGAGCACAGATACAATCATTAACTGATGGTGTGCAAAAACTGAATGTCCAAGCAAGTAGTTCTCAGTTTAAGCTATTAGTTGACTAGTCGTTGAACATTTATGAAATTAATTTCATTATTTAAATATTTAAACAGCTCCCCCCCCCTCTCTCTCTCTCTCTCTCTTACTTTCAGTGATGAATTTCAATGTTCATGATGTTTGGGCTTGTTGAGTGAAACTGTGCATTGATATTCAGGTTAATGATACTTTGGAGTATTGATATTTGGATTATTGATTTCTGGTGTATTTATGTTCATGTATTCCTACGTATAGATATGAAAGTTTCCTAATTTTAAATGATCCAAATTGGAGATTACCAGCCAACCAAAGTTAGTGAATGCAAACTATTTGGTTTGCTACTGGGGAAAAAAGGAGTCATGCTGTGGAAAGAAAATTGAGCTCCAGGGTTATAGTGACATTATCCACTCTTATATAATTAATAGTTTTAAATATTTAGAAACAAAATGTGTTTAAATAAACAGATTTGTAAAAAATAGTCAGCGGTGTCAATGAATGGGTACTTGAGCTCCTCTGAGACATATTTTTGAGACCAAAAAAATGTTTTGAACCACTGATGTAAACAGTTTTACATGTTTTATTCTTTCTCTGTCAGACGGTGAAGAGACCTCGTAAGGTCCACTCACTTAAACAGCCCCCATCCCCAGGCGCAGACAGTCAGGATTACGCCCCCTCCACCCACTACTACGACGCTGACAATGACAACGGCTGGTACCCTAACGAAAGCCGGGACCACACCTCTGACAGCAAAGCATACCTAGACCCCGAGTACAGGTCGGGGCGAGACTACAACCAGAGAGGAAGAAGCCGGGGAAGGAGCCAGGAGAGGTCCTCGCCCAGCCCGGAAAGATCCAGGAGGGAGGGTAGCCGGGGACGAGCCTTGGACACCAGTGCTGACCGTCAGAGGTACCACAGCCGAGGACGTAGCCCCGGGGACAGCTACCGCACGGAGGACAAGTACGAGCGAGGAGAAGGAGGAGGAGGAAGAGGAGGGAGGTACAGGAGCAGGGACCAGCTTAATGACAACTCTCCATCCCCAGAACCTTCCAGAGAGCTGGAGCCACTGGAGAAACCTGTCAACGTCCTGCTGGTGAAGAACAGACCCAATGAAGGTAAAACACATCATGCCTGCCATGGCTGCCCATTTGACTCTTGATCCCACAGAAACAGAACCAACACTATTATTTTTTGGTTCCAAGTTTTTCTCAGAGCACAGTTAAACACATTACAATAGAGTTGAATTGACAGCTATCTGAACATAGGCTTTCCTAAGACAGGACTTGTACTGGATTGTATTAGATTGTACAGGGGTTTCTATCGGTCTTGTCTCTCAGTGTATAGAATAGAACAATGTATAGAGCAGGCAACATTTTGAGAAACAGGAGTGAAGAGAACGTTAACAGCACAGGGATAATTGGATCTTTTTGTTCCATTATGTATCAGTGTACTGAGCGCTGTAATGAACCACTTGACTGCAACTGCAGATGCAAATGGTTCAATATTGAAGTTGCTAACTTTAGTAGACCATTTATGTCTTCTGATATCTTCAATATCTAATGATATCTTCAGCCAGTACACCTGTTGTGTGTATGTTTTTGTAGAGTATGGTCTACGTCTGGGGAGTCAGATCTTCATCAAACAGATGACCAGTACAGGCCTGGCTGCCAAGGACGGGAACCTGCAGGAGGGAGACATCATCCTCAAGGTGCACACACATTAATTCACAGTGCAGTCCCATTTATCATAAGTCTTCCAGCACAGTTCACAACCTGGGATCGCGGGACCCTCCAAGGGTTCCTAAGGTACATATAAGGGATCACTAGAATGCAAAAGAAAACCATCTTTGTTTTGTCCGTCTTGAGAAGTTTTGTTTATTTTGTTTTTTTCCTGTGAAATACTGGATACTGTCACATCTTTGGGCCATTTAAAACCTTTAAAGGAAACAATCTGAACAACAAAAATCCCTCTTTGGTTGAACAGATCATTTGCACACCAAAGCCATAACCTGTGATGACAGGTTATAAGTAGACATTGATATAAGGGTTCACAATCCAAAAAGACTGGGAACCACTGATCTGATTTGTCAGTGCACAGCTCATGGTCCTCTGTGGTTTTCCTTCCTCCTGTCCCAGCTGAACGGGAGGGTTTGGCATCCGTATCCAAGCCTCCGTCAATGCTCTGTATGGCCATTGAGAGGGGTCAGCCATTCTTAACCGACCTTGTGCCTTGATTTTGTGAAACCTTGCAGACTGCTAGGACTCCTTCCACAAGGACAGTGTATAGAAACAGCTGGGCTATGTTGTTTACATGGTTCAGGGACAGGGGGTAAGACCCAGTCTTCTGCCACCTGCAGGACACACTACAATACAGTATTTCTTTTTATGCTGGCTGGGCTGCCTCAACCTTGAAAGTTCATGTGGCAGCTATATCTTTAAACTATGGCCTCAGTGATGGAAGGCCAGTTGGTGTGCATTTCTGGCTGACACAGTTTCTGCGCAGTGCAAAGAGGGTACGCCCCCCCCAGGTTAAAGTGTTCTCCAGTATGCCCCCTGCCACTGGTCTTGCAGGCCTTGAGCAGTCACCTCTTGAGCCTATTGCATGGGTGACCTTCAGAAATATAAAATATGTCAATGGAAACTGCTTTCCTCCACACACACATCAGTCCTACGTGTCTTCAATGGAAGGCAGCGAGCGTGGAGTGACACTGTGGCCAAATATCTCTTTTCTGGTCCCTAGCCATACTAATCAGGCCATTAAACAAGACGCATACCAGCCTCCCCCATTTAGATCAAGGTGGAGGAGCAAATTAGCTGTGTCCAGTCCATCGTTGTGGCTGTACAGTGAGGCATCTCAGAGCTTTAGGCGAGGGACAAGGGCAACAAGGCAAAGGACATGCACTGTCTAAACAAAGGCTCTCTCACTGGGTTGTTAAGACAATCAAACAGGCTTATGAGTTAGCAGGTAAACCTGCCCCCGCAGATGTCATCTGCTATTCTACCAGGGGTGTGGCAACATCCTAAGCAGCAATGAGTGGGGTGTTGCTATTGGAGATCTGTGCAGCAGCATCCTGAACAGCACATTGTACTTTCTTGAGCTTTATATCGCCTTAATGTTGTTTCTTGGTCTACACTGGCATCAGCTTTTGCTTGAGACATCCACTTTTACTGCCACTGGCAGTCAGGAAGGACTGAGTCAGAACAGACGTTACAGAGGTAAATATGGTTCTGTAATTCCTGGATGACTGCCAGTCATGCTGGTTACTCGGAACCTATTAGGGCGAGAAGATTCTGAGAGATCGGATTAGGCTACCATGGAGATATATCCACTTAGTTTACTGCCACTGGCCGTTATCCAGTTTGTTTGATTTTTATTTATTTATTTTCATTTACAAAAAAACCTCCTTGAGATCAAGTTTTTCTTGGTCAAGACAGGTGGCAACAGCTGAGTTACATAAAATAGATGACACAATACTGTATATAGTGTGTCCCAAAAATTGTAAAATCAAAGATAAAATGTACAAAGTACAGATCCCCAGCCTCTAATATGAAGTTGAAAGAAACACCAGGTTTACAGAGCAAGCTGACTGGCTCCCTTAGTGAGAGTTCCCACAGCCTCTGACTGTGTGTGTGTGTGTGTGTGTGTGTGTGTGTGTGTGTGTGTGTGTGTGTGTGTGTGTGTGTGTGTGTGTGTGCGTGTGCGTGTGTGTGCGCAGATCAATGGGACAGTGACAGAGAACCTCTCTCTGCATGATGCTGGAAAGCTGATTGAAAAGTCGAGAGGGAAGCTCCAGCTGGTGGTCCAGAGAGACCGTCGCCAGATCCTCGTCCGCATCCCCCCCCTCGCAGACTCTGACTCTGACAATGATGGTGAGTCACTGAACGCATGGCCTGACCAACAGGGTTAGTGTTAAACCACAGGGAAGTTCGTAGTAGTTACCATGTGGTAGAGGCAGGACTGCTGGGTACAGTGTCTCCCAAAGGTCTGAAATATACTATACTATATATTTGGATTTCATTTCAAAATATATATTCTGAATTTTTATATTTGTACTATTCACATAATCAGAGATCTACAGAGACTTCGGATGTCAAAATGTTTCTTTTAAATTTAATCAAATCAATATATTAACTAATATGTAACCTCATATTACTTAGCTTACAATATACACAGACTGCTGCATGTTTATCTAACCAGACATCCTGACTGAGTAAAGTGTGTCTGTGGGAAACACTGTTTTTACAGATTTGTAACAGTTTTTGTAACTCCACCAAACTTTGGTGTCCAGATCAGAGGGAAGTTGATTTAAGGCTGAGATTAGAGTTAGGATAGGTCATTCAGTTTTAAGAGTTGACATGCTTTGTTTAATTGTCAAGTGAGGTCAATCAGATACTAATATGGTACAAATATATATCATATGCACTGTTTTTGGTCCATAAAAGTAATAGATGACTAAAGAAATAGAGATCATCAGATCTGCACAAAGATGTGGAGGTTAAAGTGTGCCACTGGAATAATTATAGATTTTTTAAGGTCAGTAGGTAAATAAAATGTATTCATTAAGTTTCTTTAGAAACAATGTATATAATGATTGGTTGAATTGGACTGAGTCATCAAAAGTGGTACCACTGGCTAAAAGTCAAGAACCCATTACTCAATTCAAAGGAGCAAGCTGTTCAAAGACCTGGGAGCAGCTGGAGAAATGGTTTTAATTCTGCAAACTTTACTCTGTGCAGTATTTGACCATATAAAAATATAAATAACTATTAAAGGTAACGAAAATACATTTTAAAAAAAAATGTGTAAATGTGTATAAAGAGTGTTTTTCCTACAACCTCTAACATTAACAGTTAAATTGCAGTTTGGTACCCGCAAACACATTCAAAAATAAGTAAAAAATAAATAAAATACCTATTTTACTCAGCTTTTGGAAGAATTTCTCTGAGATAGAACTAATGTATCCAAAGGCCATTCATTAATAAATAAATGCATGAAAGCAAAATAATGAATTGGACATAGTAGTTAGCATATTAAGATTATCATGATTATTTTTGCTTTATTATGTATTATTGGAGATACAAATCTAATCACTCTAGAAATGTTTTAATGACATACTTAATTAATTTTAATTAAACAAAGAAAAAGTTAATAATTATTTCTTGTGACACACTTGAGCCTCCATACAAACACATAATAATGAATGGAAGGATTTATAATTAATAAAGCAAAATGTCCATTGGCATTACTTCAACTGTTCCCTGACACGTACAGTTACAATCATGTTTAAATACGCAAAAGATAAAAATATCTGGCATTAAAGCGGCTCAAAATAGCACCTGAAACTAAGCGGTCTTGAGTTTCTGCTTGCAGCTGCTCAGCTACTGTGTATCTCCCAAAAAGAGAGAGGGCACCAGCAGGTCAGGATTTGCTCAAGACCCTACTGTGGGCTGAAATGTCGTTTTAGGAAAAACCTCCAGCTCCTGGTGTTGAAATCTGCCTAAAAAGTGAACTAATCATTTGAAAGTGCTCATCTTGACAAGCAGAAGCGATCCCTGTAATCGCTCAAAAGTGCCATCTTTGTCTGTGTTTTCTCTTCCAGATAATATGTCATACTTTTAGATGAAGGACCACCCAAGACACAGCATGTGTAACAATGTTGCCTTTCTCTAAGCTGTAAAACGGCTGTGACACAACCTGACTAAGTTGTAAAGCTTTCACACCTTTTGCACTTCTCTTTATACTGCTCTAAATCCTTTTAACTTTTTAATACATGATTCATTTTTCTGAATAAATAAACACATTTAAATCACTATGTACTTTGAATTGTGTGATTCATTAAGAATAGAAGTTGAATTATGGCAGTGGAAAAAGCCTTCAGATGATTTTATAATATTGTCTGAATATTGAACCATGATGTTGCAAAGGGTGATGATTTATTTTTGTGAATACAGAAAGTTGCATGACAAAGCGTGGCTCATAAAGTGGGTAAGATGTTTGTTGAATTTTCATTGTAATAACATATTAATGATTTGTCCTAACAGTGTAGCAACTCGCCGTTGTCTGTCCAGGTGGTATATCTGAACTATCTTCACCTCCCTGTTGTCTCTTGCTGCATTTCCATTACACACAAACATTCTCGTATCATGCTCACACCTCTCATTTCACTGACAGGGTCACTGTAATATTTTTAGATTTTGCTGCATCACCACTACACCTTACAGTGGCTGTGTGTAAACCTGTGTGTGTGTGTGTGTTTTGTATTTATTAATATTTCTTATCTTTACGAGGATAGAATGATCTGTTCACAGCAAGGTCTGTGGATCAGTTTTCGTTGATACTTGGTATTGGACTGCTTTACATTGATGTTTTCCTAATAGTGTGGGCACAGTATTCAATACAGTGCAATACAGCATCATCAAAAATACACAATCCAAGGCCAGGTTGCTTAAACGTACTACAAGGTAGGGGTGGGCGATATGGGCAAAAAATAATATCTCAATATTTTTGGGGATTTTGGTGATAAGAACAGTCGATATCCTTTAAAATGTGATTAGAATTGTCTGAGCTGGACTTGTGTCCACCAAACGCGTTTACAGCGCTGAGAGCGCTCAAAAACTTATTTTCCGAGCGCCCAGCGGTGTTAAAAGTTGAACAGATTTCAACTTGAAGCGCTCTGAGCGCTGCGCTAAAAAAAAACCGTCTCCGCTGACATCTTTTTACCGCTGAAGGCGCTTAGCGCTCTGAATGCTGAAGCCCATAGGATCCACATCTCGGCACTAAATCATCTGAAGTACCGGTAGCTTCAGGGACTGGAGGTGCTTGCATTTTCTCTCTACCATCACAACGCGCTGCTAAACTGTTGCAAGGAGGATTCTAGCGAGAGGTCACGTGATCACGTAGGCCCACTAAACTTGTGACTGAATCCTGCCATGCTGTAGAGAGCGCTGCTGCACCGTGTATTAATGGATGTGAGGAGTTTCCGCGGGCGTTTCATTGTTTTTGTCGAAGTAATTTAAATACTCGATAATGGAAATTTGCACATCGTCAAAACAACAATGACGATATTATCGCAAACGATATATATCGCCCACCTCTACTACAAGGAGTTTTTAACTCTTATGGAACGGGCTCAATTTAATAGTGATGCCTCTATATAACCCACAAGAAACAACAAACAAGATCACCAGGGAGCACATTGGCTATTAGTTAGTTAATAAGTTATTCTTAATGCCTGCCCCACGGTCGGATTCCCCTTGAAATCAGTTAAACATGGCGGTGGAAACACTACCACTTTTGTCCACAGGGGCCACCAAAATCAAGATCAAATTAAAGTTTCTTCTAAGGGGTTAAGTAACTGTTGTGAACTAAAATAGTGTAGTTGTCACTTTTCAGGCACATGCTATTAAGAATGCAGGGAGTGGTGCAGCAGCTGACTCTGACTGTGTGTGTGTGTGTGTGTGTGTGTGTGTGTGTGCGTGTGCGTGTGCGTGCGTGTTGGGTTAGTAATTAGAGTTAATTCAATTCAATTAAATTTTAGTTGGGATGTCTGCAGGCTCTGATGGTTGTTCACCTGGAAGTACACAGATGCACCTCTTCCACTCGCTACAGCACTGACTAACAACTAAAGCTTTGTTCCGAGCAGTCACTCAGTAGTGAATCCACGTATAGAGGACATGAATAGTTTAGACCAAAGAAAACACTAATATCCACATAGGTTAGCTGTTTCTCTCACCATGGATGAATACATAAAAGAAGATTGAAGATGTGTAAAACTCCACTAGCAGCTGCAAACATTACACCCCACGATGTGAAACTATTTAATGGAACAACCAAACACTGAGGCAGTGTGATGTAGCCATTCTGAAGCTGTGGGGGTTTTATTAAGATGTTCCTGTAGGTGGTGGTAGAGGAAAGGTCATGGAGTTTAAAATTGAAAGGGCTCATTCCCTGAATAGCATGAATGTACTCAGCACATTACACAACAAACTGACAGTTAGATTTTGGTATTTCTTGTCAACAAGAATATCTTTTTGTCTTTTAACCTTTATGACAGTGTATTACTCAAGTTAGATTCTATCATTAATTACACCAATCAGAAATGAACAAAATGCCATCTAGTAAATCTGGCTGCTGAGGCACAGAATGCCTCCAGTACGCATGGGAACTGTGGCAGAAAGTGCTTTTTTAAATCTAGTAAAGATCATTTTAAAATGTGGAACAATGTTTTTGTATTTATTTGATTTGAATGAGAAAAACAAAATATACTTATTTGCGCAAACTAATTACAGTACCACCACAAACCACTAGGGATCAGCTGACCTCCCCAGTCGAAAGACCGTGCTGTACAGGCATCTGTCGTAAGCCCAGCTTGTTCAACTACTTGTTTAATTTAAAATATTTTCATAATATGAACTGGAATTTTTTTAGCTCTGGGCAGAAAGAAAACTAAAATTTGTCCTGATGGTGGCGCTAGGGCAAAGGTTAGGGGGTCACCAAAACATAATGATTGATTCTGTGGGAACCAGGAAGAAGTCTGTTTGCATCGTTGGTTGTGCACATTCTCGGAAATTAATGCAACACATCTGCGAAGCAAACTCTTGGTTAAAAAGCTAATATATATCCAGCAACAGAAAAAAACTCAGTATTGATTTTCTTTATGATGGCTCTATTGCTGAGTCCTTCACATCAACACACCATCCAAATTTGGTTCTGTGACATAAATCTGAATGCTGGATGTTGTTTCTGACATATTTGGCCGACACTTGCCGATATCAGGTTTGACACAATATCCTCACATTTCTCTTTTTCTTTCAGTCTGTCTCTCTCATCCTCGCTCTTCCATTTCAGTGTCTCATTCTTGTCAAACTCCATCGCCTCTGTATGTCCCTGCATGTAGAATGTCTCTCTAACCCTAATCGCACTAATTAACACGTACCAAATCGTACCTGGTGAAACTCGACCGTGCCTCTCTGACCTCTAACTGCCGCTAAATGAAAGGCAAAACTGATCTGCTTGAAGCCATGAAGGAATGCAGCAATGTTATTAAAAGTGACAGAGTTGTTGGCTGTTAAAGAGGTTTGTCATGGCGTGTTGTTTTCAGGGGGACAGATTTATCGCCTCTTTTTTTATTCTCTGTCTTTTATGTGGTCTCGCTTGTCATCTCACACCTGTGTCTTCAAATGTTTCTTTTGTCTCTGGTTTCTTGGTGTATAGGCTTCTGTTAAAAGCTTCCATCTTAAGCCTCCCTCCCTCTCTTCCGAGCAGTGCCACACTCTGACAGATAAAAGCAGCCAAATCAAAGACTCTGCCACCCATTCTTCACTTCAAATGAAAAAAAAAAAAATAAAAACATCAGTGGGAGTGAGTGAAGGCCAGGCGGTCTCTGTGGAGAGCTGGGCCTTGTGTAAGCACTTTTGACCAGCTCGTTTCTGGGTTATAAAGCAGTACGGATACTCCCATGAGGCCAGAGCTGCCCTCATACTGGCATTCCAGAAGTTGCCGCCTGAAACCTTAGAAAGCATTTCTTCAAAGTTTCTAAATTCCCTAGTTTTAGTCTGTAAAAGTTACAATCCTTATTATACATATTATATTAAACCCCATTTTTGATTTTCTACATATGGCCAACCGTTTCAGCAAGGATAAATGTAAGCTTCCACTACTTATCTGGATCTGGGGTTGCAATGACTACAGGCCAAGCAAGCCAGTTCAGATGTTCTTTGTGTTTATTTATAATAATTGTTTCTGTTGAGGGCAGTGGTGTCATGTGACCTGCAGTACTGACTATGGCCACTATGCCAAAATCGCCTTACTTTGATTTGAATTTGGTTTAGTTGACATCTCAAACATATACATGTATATCCTGTGAAACACTGCAACAAATACAGACATGTATGTCGAGGATAACACAAAGAAAACCTACCCTGTTCTAAAGAACTTGTTTTTCATAGTGGGCTTTATTTCAGAACAGAACTGTGGGAGCCTGTATTATTGAAATACATGCTTTTACCACTGGTAACCCAGGCGTCCCCAATTCAGTGTGTTTGAGTAAAAGCTGCTTTTATCTTGAGTCTTGAGCTGTGGCAGTTCAACTTCATAATCTCTAATAACGTCCTCAGTCTGTTCCGGGCTGTAATTAGCTGGTGTCGGGGCTTCCTAAGGCAACCATTTTGTACTGGTGGTGGTGGCGGTGGCACGCGGCCTGGACGGGGGGGATTTCGCTTGAAAGAGGCCTGTGTGTCTAATTGAGATGTCTGTTTGTCTGTCTGTTTGTCTGTCTGTCAGACATATCAGAGATGGAGTCATACCATTCCTATTCTCCCCCAGAGGAGAGGAGGTCCCGCCAGTCTGACCTGTCCTCCCACTCTTCTAATGAAAGAGACAACCCCAGGTAGGATGGACTTAAGCTTGGATTCCAGTTAGGTTATGTAGACTTGTGACTCAACTCAACTCGCTAATACTCGTTGGGTTGGTGGGATTGGTTAGGTTTAGGCACGAGGAGTGAGATTGGTTAGGGTAGGGTAAGAAAATGTTACGTACAGGAAATAAGAAAGTTAACTGAGGTTCTGACCGAGCCTTGCTCAATTGTTATTGGTGCACAGAACAAAAAGGGGCGGGACTTAGGAAGGGTCAGTTGACGTTATTAGGTGTCCTGTTAGTTCCTATTGCTTTCGTAAAATGTATGTATCTCCTACATGAGTTACTTTAGATGAGTTGCTCTGGCACCTTGTAGTTCCTTTAGAGCCTCTCATCCTGGGTTTTTGTGTGTGTAACAGGGAAGAACCCATGAGGACCCCCAAGATGTCAGCAATGGCCTCCCCCTTCAGAATACCGGAAGACCCCCAGGCCTCAGCTGGGCAAGACAAAGGCACACCGCACATTGAGGAGCCTCCAGGTTATTTCACGACACTACCACCTCAGTCTACCATGGCAGGGTCACAGTCCTAATATTAACTGATACCACATAACCATAACGTACATATAGCTTGCTGGACTGAATAATGACAGACTCTGTGGCATCGGAAACAAGCTGTAAACAAGTGTAATCTCCGAATCTTCATTATGTATTTACTTTTACTGACCTAACATGTTGTTGGCAGTTGTAAACATATGATGTTAACAACACTCCTTCTGATTTTCTTATCTACAGTTGCTGCAACAGCTACACCCAAGATTCTTCTACGGCCAAGTCCAGAAGATGAAAAAATATACGGGCAAGTTTTTCTTTTTCTCTCTTCATAGTTCTCTATACTTGAAACTTTACTGTGTTGTTTTTCTATCCCTATTTATTCATAATCACATGAAAATGTTAAATCCACCCCTACCCACACTAGTTCCATTGATGTGATCCAATTGCAGCAACATACCTGTACGTGATCGGCCTTACATTTACAGTATCTGTCTTTTATGTGAAATACATAGGAATGGAAAGAAGGTTACTTTACTAAGAATGTATTGGATGCGTCATGTCTCTGGGAACTGAATGCATCTGAAGCAATTATGATGTGGCTTGGGCCTGACCCGGGATGTTTAGAACAGCAAGTCCTGCAAGAATTGGCTTCAGTTGTGTGTCTCCAATTGGTCCCTTGATCAGTAGCGAAACACAATGCAGTTAGGTGGCCACTGGTTTTCATGACATGGCACATAAATATTAGTTCACAGCAGCATGTAATTATGTCACTTCCAGCACACACCTTTACAGAGTATAAAGGTCAAGTAATTACTGTTATCAGCAGCAGCTGTGTTCACCTTGCTCTGTGTCCCAGTTTCCTACTAGCCACTAACTACTTTCATACCAACAGGCAGAGGTGGAGAAGGTATTCAAAGCCTTTACTTAAAGGACCAGTGTGTAGCATTTAGTGGCATTTTTGGGGTGAAGTTTTAGATTCAACTAACTGAACACCGCTGGCACCTGTATTTAATGACCTGGTATTGAGAACGTGCTGTAAAGTGTGTAGGAGACACTACAGTGGCCATGAAACTTGTGAAAAAGACAGTTTTACAGCCAGTTGCTACATTGTTTGGTTTGTCCATTCTGGGCTACTGTAGAAACATGGCGTTTCAACATGGTGGACTCCATGAAGGAGGACCCGCTCCCTCTGTAGATAAAACGGCTCATTCTAAGGTAGCAAAAACACAATGATTCTTATTTTCACGTATACACTAATGGAAACATACCTATGTGTGGCTCAGAGGTAGAGCGGGTCGTCCACTAATCCTTGAGCAAGATACTGAACCCCAAATTGCTCCCAATCAGTGTATGACTATCTGTAAATGCTTCGTTTCCATTCTGGTGAGCACCTTGCAGGCAGCCACTGCCATCATTGTATGAATGTGTGTGAATGGGGTGAGTGTGGCATATAGTGTACAGCGTATTGAGTGGTCAAAAAGACTAGAAAGGCACTATGTAAGTACAGTCCATTTACCATTTACCTATGAATATTTTATTCCATTTCTGACAATAGATTCTCCTGAATGTTACACACTGGACCTTTTAAGTAAAAGAAGTAAAACTCCTGGATTCAAAATCTTACTTAAAGATGCTTTAAGCAATATTTTCCATCAGCCATCACTGATATAGAGTGTTCAGTAACATGGTCTCCCAGTCTCTCCTTCCTGCAATAAACAGATCATATATTTTCTGGTATCCTGTTCCTACTTTATCCAAATCTAATCAGGAGAGAGAACTCCACAAGGAGGCGGTCCTCAAGGGCAGGCAGCAGGATTTCAGTGTGGCGACATGGGGAGGAGGGAGGGGACTGCTTACTGCAAAAACGGACAGGAAGTTAGCCAAAATACCAATTTCACTTACAGCCCCTTTACATAGACTCCACAGTTGTATTATCAGCAAAATATAATTAAATGACTTAAAGGTCCAGTGTGTAACATTTATGAGGATCTATTGTCAGAAATGGGATATAATATTCATAGGTATGTTTTCATTTTTGTATAATCACCTGAATATAAGAATCATTGTGTTTTGTTACCTTACAATGAGCTGTTTTTATCTACAGAGGGAGCGGGTCCTCTTCTACAGAGTCTGCCTCATTGAACCACCATGTTTCTACAGTAGCCCAGAACAGACAAACTAAACACTGGCTCTAGATAGGGTCTTCCACATTTTTTTCCAAATTTCGCAGCCACCGTAGTTGGAACCGGCAGATGTAGTAATGGGCTTGTAATCTGCGACTACTATGTGGATGGGTAATTAACAAAATAATTGAAAGAAAAACGTAAGTAAACCCAGCCGGAAACACAGACGTACTGAGACCATTACAGCAGTTTTTCAGACACAGACACAATACATACTACCCCATCAAACACTAGGCTTGAGTTGTTTAGCAGATCATTTATGCAATGGGAGGAGAAATATGTGCAACTGATCACACATTCCACTGGACTTCTTAACATTAGTGAGGGCCATATTTGTGTCATGTTTGTGCCCATGTTGTTAATGGCAACATGTATTTCCCCTCCTGCAGGCCAAACACAGTGATGGTGAATTTCCAGAAGGGAGACAGTGTCGGCCTGAGGCTGGCAGGAGGAAATGATGTTGGCATCTTTATTGCTAGTGTTCAAGAGGGCAGTCCTGCTGAGGAAGAGGGTCTGCGCGTCGGAGACCAAATCCTAAAGGTAGCCAGTCCAGACAGAACTTATTTCCTTACTACTATGTGAACATAAAAAAGCTCAGAGAAGCTGAAGTTTAAACTACTATATGAATGTGGGTGTACAGAAAAATATAAGTGTTGTATGTTATTTTAATAACAAACAGTCCTAATTATTTTGCACTTTGTTTGTGTCTTGAAGGTGAACAATGTTGATTTTCAAGGTGTAGTGAGAGAAGAAGCAGTGCTCTTCCTGTTGGAGATTCCTAAAGGGGAAGTGGTCACCATCCTCGCCCAGAGCAAACCTGACGGTAAAACATTCCCTCCTGAAAACAAAAGACACAGAGGCATAGTCAGAGTTAGATTTCTCACATTAATTACACATATATTAAAGAACACAATTAAACCAATAATACAACTTTGATTTATCTATAAAATGAACAGCCTGGCATTCAGTCCAACATTAGGCCAAAACCTTTCTTGTCTATAATTTTGATTATTATGATCTTTAATGAGCATATTCATGCTCCTCAGAAGATGAACCCTTCTTATTTTATGCCCCCTAGAACATTACTATTGTCAACACAACAAAAACAACAGTCCTTACTCGTTTCATTGATTTTTTTTCTGGTAAAGCTCATCAAGACTTACAAACATACAAACAAACATACAAAATACCTATTTTACATCTTCAGGCCAAAATTATCCAACGATATCTCAATTTAATAATTTTATAGATTGCCATAAAGCTTACTGAGCATTCATGCTCCCATCTAGGTTGTTCCTTCTGATTTTTATGACCTTTTACGACCTAATGGTGGTTTGTTCCTTCATTACCATGAACACACACTGTAGTTTATTTTGACTCAATCCCACATACACCTTGCTGCTGCCAAAACATTCACTAGAGTTCCAAATGTGGATTAATCTCTGCTGAAAATAGTCCCCAACAAATGCACTTTTTCCTTCTGTTTTAGTAATATTTGATTAAAGATACAGTGGCTAGTTGTTTTAGGATATTACTAAGCTGTTTATATACTTTTAACTATGTATTTGTGAGGTGTTTTGAAAGATTTACATCTCCAGTAGGAAACAGTGGGCTTGGGGGTGAGAGCCACATACCGAATAGGGAAGTCAGAAGGTATTTAGTGACAGACTAACACACTGTTGGTTTGTGGCTTTTTATGGGCTTTTTGACAATCAGAAAAACACAGAATAACATCTCCTATCTTTCAAGTGCAGCATATTTGCATGTCTTAGCCTGAGCCTGTACTAAATGATTCAGCAGTGATGGAATGTGCTGTGACTTGAAATGTTAGAATGATGGAGCAGTTTTAAGTGATGAAGTTGTAGGCTTATCAGCAACTTGTGGAGTATACCAGAACATGGTGTACTTTTACCACAATGCCCTGCCAGCTGTCACACTCGCACCCCAGGACCATTGTCTCTTTCTCCCCCCATCTCTCTTTCTCTCTCTGATGTTTCCATTTAATGAGGGAGGTACCAGCTTGGTCCCCCAAGGGTTTTAGACCAGATCAGGCTAGTTTTGGTTCAACCAACCGTGACACACATGGACCCACACAGATCCGCTCAAGAACACATCGGATGAGAGAGAGCAACACAAACCGTGTTATGTAATGAGCACATTGGCCCCTTGAGCTTGTGGCTCTGAAAAAAAGGGCTTTGCCATTTTTGTTGGAAAAATCTATTTATGAAGCAAAACACATCACACAACGAAGCAGAGCACTGACCTGACATGAACACTGTATGACTCCTGTTGAGAGGACATTTAAGGTATCAGAGAGCTGGCAGGTCCTCACATAAAAATAGTAGTGGTTGAGATTAGAAAGGTCAGGGTGGTAACTGTATGGTTTGATATGTATAGGAAAGAATATTGGCAGATTTTCAGGTTAGATTTAAGTAATACCACTAAATCTACAAATGATCTGCCCAAGGGGAAGCACTCACTGTAAAAAAAGAAAATAGGACCCAGGACAGTACCGTGGGGCACACCCATTGACAGTAAATATACAGTATAGTGGACAGAGCATCCAGGTCTGTGAAGTAATGCCAATGCAAAGTGTCTTAAACATGCATTTTATGAAATGGCCAGCAGGTGACAGCAAAAAAAAGTTATAAAGTATGGAGTTTTATGGAAAGATGATGCTATTTCTCACTTTAGCTTGGTAAACTGTTTCCTAATGAGTTTATGGTCATAATCGCTAGTTTCAAGTCTTCTTCCATGCTGCATGATGTTCCTTTTAGTAAATTATGGTGATGGACATTCACAGAACATTTGTTCAATCAGGCTGATGTTTATTGCTACAACTGGTGTTTAAATGAAGAATTATTTGCCAAAATACTTTTTAGAGAATTGTTAAAACATGTCTGATAGCACAACAATACACAATTGTACAACAATACACTACTCACATGACTTTGGTTGTCTTTGAAGGTTCTGAAGGAGCACTCAGATAGAATAAGGTTATACAAGGGGAACCCTTTGTTTTATATATTATTATTAGTGTGAGTGTGTTATTAAAGCTGAATGTGAATCCACAGTGTGTATGAAGCCCTGTATTCGCTGCCAGCCAGCCTTGGCAGCAGTGGACTGTAGCCAGTATGACTGTTGCCTCTGTTGGTCCTTTTGGGTCAGTGCTTTGTCGGACTACACATATCAAATCAGGAAGCCTCACAAGAGCCTGGAGCAGGCTGTAAAGTATATTTCCATGCAACAGTCAGACAAATATGTGCATTTTGTTTTGATTTTGCAAATAAGACTGGAAATTTTAGCTTGGAAGTTCATTCTTGACCTTTGAGAACAGTGCATGTTACAACATAATCTACACTGTAACTTCTAGGTACTAGTTCTTTTGAGCTTTCTGCTGCACCTAATGGTCTTTATGTGAACATGAACAGGAAAAAGCTCAGTTGTCATCACATAAACCTTAAGTGTGGAACATTGGTAACATGAAGACAAGTAATCATAAATAGGGAGAGATAGTAAAGGAGGATACCGACATCTGAAATTATGAGGAAATAGTGCATTTGTGGGCTAATCAGGAATAATCAGTATCAATAAATAAAATAAATGTTCAGTCAATATTTAGAACAAAGTGGAGTAAAAAAAAGGGAACAGGGGCAGGTTCAACAATGGGGCTCTATGGCACAAAGAGGAAAATATATCAAGCTTCAATAGATACACAATACTTATAATAAGATACATTCTTTGTTAGTTTGGCTGTGCACATGGCATTTGATGACAATAGGAAAAATATCTAATGTCACTAGTATCACTGTCTCTATCACAGTAAATAAAAAAACATAAAGACAGTGATTGCTTCACTGTAGTCTCCTATTCAGTCACAAGAGAAGGTGAACCTTCCCATCTTTATCACAAAGTAAATGAAAAAATGTAAACACAGTTATAATTATAAAACACAAGTACAATACAGCCAGTCTATTGTCGTGGTGCTACAGTATCAGTGGGAGAAATCCAACAACTATGGTGGGACTCCCATTAACTCTTGCATTAAGTACAATATAGCTGCTTTGTTTAATTTAGGCAGACCACCCCAAAAGGGGGTGTATTAATAGGTTTAGACAAGTGGAATAATGTAATTTCACTTGCACCCAGAGTATTTTTTTTATGTGTACTTTGATCTTTTATGTTTTAATAAGTGCATGCCATGGTCTGACATAGCTGCTTCAGGCTGCCAGCAGTCCAGCAGTATCAGACAAAAATATGATAATCTCATTCTAATATTTTACTGCTCTTCTGCTGCCTCCCCTCTTCTCTTCCTCACTGTTTTTAATGGCTTTTTTTCTTTTTCCCTCACTTTTTTGGCTTTCTAGTCTATAATGATATCTTGGTATCGGGGCGTGGAGACTCTTTCTTCATCCGGACACACTTTGAGTATGAGAAGGAGACTCCTCAGAGCCTGGCATTCAGCCGTGGGGACATCTTCAAGGTGGTGGACACCCTGTATGACGGCAAGCTCGGCAACTGGCTGGCAATACGTGTTGGCAAGGAAAAGCAGCTGCTGGAGAAGGGCATCATCCCCAACAAGAGCAGGTAGGGCCATCAGCTGGTCCTGTGTTAGGGGGCCCATGAAGGCGTGTCCGTCAGAAGACTGATTTGCAGTGTGGTCCAGATGGGGTCCTTGGTCTGGACTTGGAGTTCTAGAATATATTAATGAGTATAAAATAATGAATTATCACCTCACATGCAGTGGAAATGATTCTCAACCCAGTGTTCGGATAAAAATAAATTTCAGCCCCACTGCCAGTACATTTGCAGATAGTGTGAAAGATAAGCAGGTGACAGTTACAATGTTTTCTTGATCTCTATCAAAATTCTCTGGGACTGCAGTAAAGGAACTTAAATGGCTCGGATCTCTGACAAACCTGGTAAGCTTTCAGACAGTGGATCAGATAGGCCTGTTCTGGCCACAGGCCAGCTGCTGGTTATCTTAAAAGACCAGATGTCACATCAGACGTATGTCCAGCCAACCATTATTCCCCTCATCCTTTCACCTCCTCTCTTATCTTTTCCTCTACCACCACTCTCCCGTTTTATCCAGCCTCTTTTTAAATGTCTTATCATTCTCTTCTCTGTCCTCACTGTCATCAGACTGCTCTTCTTCCTCCACATTATGCATGCTGTTTTGTTCCACTTGTCCTCTGAATCACTCATTAGCATTGCCATTTCAATGGCACAAAATGAGGAAGAAAGATGCACAGCACTGCTGCACTCCAGTTACATTACACTAATTGGCCCAAGAGGGTTACTGTAATTACAGGTCCACAGCCCAGAGGCTGAGTAAATCACTGGTGTGAGACAGCATGTGTCCCAGTTGTACGCTTTAGTATGATTCTTGTGTGTTTTGAGTGTACCATACATTCACACTGTGGGGAAATTAGAGTGTTCTTTAAAATGCCTGCAAGCAGAATTTGTTCAAGCAGTGGCGAAGTAAGATAAAGGCTTTCCAACCGCCTGCCGAGCATGCCTCCCATGGTCCATATAATATCAGAAACTCTACCTCCCAACTTGGATTTGAGATGGGTGGACTGAAATGCCTTACCGATTGTGATCAGGAACCAGGTGATGCAAGCTAACCCTAACACAGAACCACTGACCATGGACCATTTTCTGGGCTGCCCACTTCTAAAACAGTCATACACAAAACCTTGTAGAATACAGCAACAAAGCAAAACACTGTGGAAGATATACTGTATTTTGTGTGTGGACACACTAAGCAATGGTATTGAAATAGTTCCAATTTCCAAGACACACTGTCTTTGAGCTTGGACCACACTAGAGTATATTTTTGTCTTTTGAGATGGTCACTGTATTTATCAAAATAGTTAAACTAATCGATTAATCCAATAATCATTGCAGCTCTACTTGGGCCTGAGTTTGGCAGTGATCCTCAGCTGAAAAAAACCAGGATGAATCGAATACTTCACATGCTGGTCAATAGTGACACCATTATTTCGGATCTGTGTTAGGTCTTATACTTAATTATATTTGTCTAGTTTAAAGATAAATATGCAAAATCAAACTGGCACATCCAGATATTCAGACAGTTCAGATCTGCATGTACAGTCTGGTGCTCTACATGTCTCACAAGTGGTTTTACACATGAACATGCACATGAAGAATGGATGGATTAGTGACAGGTGTATTTATCTTGATAGAGCGGAGCAGATGGCCAGCGTCCAGAGCTCCCATAAAGTGGTTGCGGGCGATCGAGCCGACTTCTGGCGGTTGCGAGGCCAACGTTCTCTGAAGAGGAAGGACCTGAGGAAGAGCAGAGAAAACCTGAGCAGTCAGACCCTGGCCACCCGCTTCCCAGCGTACGAACGAGTGGTGCTCCGGGAAGGTGGGTGGAGTGCCTGCTTTGGATTGATTCTCTATGTCTCACCTGAAAGCTGGTGTTTGTTAACATGATAAGGGTTTAGAAAGTATGAATTGTGTTCTTGCTGAGTTAAGATTTTTGTTCTGGACTGAGAAAGACAAATGAGTCTGACTTTGTTTGAAGTGTAGACACACTCTGGGGGCTATGAAACAGTAAAAAATGAATCAGAGCAAAATATTTTGTGATATGATTTTTTAAATTCAAGTACTGATATTAACATCAGCCTCAAAAATCTGGTCAGGTTCCGTTTAAGTTGTTTGACTTTCGGTAGAACAGACTTGAAATCGTATCAGTGTGTGTATTTTGATGTCCACAGGTTACAGTATGTAAATGCTGTAAATGTTATAAACTGTGAGCAGCATTGTAACCACAGTGTGTCATTGCAGCTGGTTTCCGGCGTCCTGTTGTGCTGTTCGGCGCCATCGCTGATGCTGCTAACGAGAAACTGGCCTCTGAGATGCCCGACCTGTTTGTTATTGCCAGTGAGTGTGTGCCAGCCTCTCTCTGTTCGTGTGTTTGAAAGTCTTCCTTCCTGAGTAGATGTCCTAGTATTGCTTCTGACCTTTCCATGATTTCTGTGTTATTATGTTAGAAACCGAGCCGAAAGATGCCGGCTCTGAGAAGTCCTCAGGAGTGGTTCGATTGAACACCATCCGACAAATCATCGAGCAGGTACCCACACACACACTCACAAACTGTCAATCTATGTCATGTCATGTAGATTTAAAGGATTTTGTCCACCAAATACTTGCGGTATATGGTCTATTTGAGATCAAGATCTTTTTATAAGAGAGACTTGAGAACAAAGGAACATGCAGGAATTTGGTGCTATTTGGTCAGGCTGATGAAGTCCACCATTATGTTATCAACATTAAGAGACGGATTGTTGTCTTTGCACCAGGCCACTAGCTGTTCAACCTTCTCCCGGTATGATTGTCGCTGATTACACCCACCACTGCTGTGTCATCAGCAAATATTTAAAAATATGGTTTGAGCTGGATTTGGCTGAACAGCCATGGGTCAGCAGAGAAAACAGCAGCAGACCAAGCACACAGCCCTGGGGGGCACCCAGCATGATGGCTCCAGGTGGGACAGGGTACTGTGGAGTACTAATGATATGCCGCTATCTGAGGACTGGAAGCACTTTGTGATAACAGAGGTCAGTGGGACAGTGTGGTAGTCGTTGGGGCAGGGTACAGCTGATTCATGGTCATTTATGTTGTTCAGTCCTGTAGATTTTCTAGGTTTCGCTTTGGCTAGAGTCCCAGGTTTTCCTCCCGGCATGTTATCCGCAGCTTCAAAGCGGGCATGGAAATATTTCAACCTGTCAGGAAGGGAGGCATCACTGACATCGGCCTGTGGTGTGGTTTTATAGCCAGTTATGACCTGCATGCCCTGTCACAGAAAGGACTATGGATTTTTTGGTGCGTTGGCCTGTTTTCATCTCTGATGGTTTGGGAGAGATCAGCTCTTGCTGACCTGAGAGCTGCCTCATCCCCTGATCTGAAGGGATCATCTCTTGTTAAACAACATTTAATTTATTAGCATACCAAAAAAACTATAAAAATGTATCAGCCTGGGTAGTTACATCATCATCATTTGATTTCTCTCTTCATTCCATTATATCCACCAACTATCTCTTCAGAGGTAATTATTTCCAACGTTTTAGCTATAATCTCTGTTGTTGACTTACCTGTTTGGTCATGATGGCGTTGTTTAAAGGTAATATAAGACTGACAACATTAACATGAGAGCAGACAACTATATGCTATGTAAAGATATAGTGGAGTCATGGGGTCCTGAGCAGAGAATGATTGAGCCCTTTTCACACATATTTTCACATCTAACTCTGTGAATTAAGGGTTTATTTTTACCAAACCAGTTGGTGGTTGTTGGAAAAGTTGTTCTGTTGCTAGGCGGTCAATAACAAAAGACGAAGTTTGAAGTAGCGTGGTATCATGGGAGTTGTTGTCTTTACCACCATTACTGTCATTGCAGTCAGCCTCTCCCGGTTAGGAAGACCCTCCTGGGGGGGCTGCAAGTCGAGCTGCTGCTTACGTTAGCTCAGCTTGTTTCTCTGACTTAGAAAGCACCACAAACTGGATAAAAAGACAATGTATGACAGCTTCTGGATATGACAGAAGCTGACCATTGACAGGCGACCGGTGAAACGCAGCATTACCTGAATAAAATGACAGATTTCTCTGAGTTTGAACATTGTTGGAAACATTTGGAAAATGGAAGTATACAACTCGACTACATATAGAACATAGCTGTGGATTGAAGCTACAGTTATAGGATAACAGCAAATGCTCAAATGTTACAGAATTACAAGTAAAGAAGAGTTGTGAAGATTATGACTTGACTAAGTAATTATACTTATACAGTAATATCCATCTAGAGTTTAGCCATTAGCCACTATAAACTGCTGGTTATATCAGACCCAGTAAGGCTGCAGCAGCATGTTGGTGCTTTGAATTCAGTGTTTTATTTGTATGAGGATGGTCAGAAGTTTACCTGTTGATGGTTAACATTACATAATCTGTCTGTGGAGAATTCCTGTTGTAATATATGCTGTGGTAAAGGCTTTATGCCAAATCACAGTGGCAGATTTCTCAGGAAATTAGTTGTAAATAAGATCACCAAAACTATAAAGACATAGTTACTTTTTTATTACTTTTTTATTTTTCTACTATTTTCTACTATTTTTCTTTTTCTATACTAATTTTCTCCGCCTACATATTGGGTAAAACAAACCTTTTTTCAATTATTATGGTTTATTGACTTATATAAAGTTTTAGCTTAGGTTGTACAGATTTTAAGGAATTTGAATCATATCATGAATCATTTATCACAATAAGCAAAAATGTAGACACTGGCAGACCATTTCTTTTTTGAACAAGGTCTTTTTATTTTAGATTTTCACAATATGCAAAATACAAACATAATACAAACATTAACTAATCCCTAGTCACCACCCCCACCCTCCCACTCACCAGACCTGTACCGCGCAATCAAAGACAGTCATTCTGCGTACTTGTTAAGGTGAGTCATGTAAATAAATATAGCAGGGACAGAAAGAACACATGTGACAATACAAGTAAGAGGTTCACATGTATTGCAGGGTTACCTGGCGGACCATTTCTATTGCAGAGTTCAAAACAATGTTTGCCATTTGTCCCTGTTCCTCACGCCACACAGGACAAGCACGCCCTGCTGGATGTGACGCCCAAGGCAGTGGACACCCTGAACTACACCCAGTGGTACCCCATTGTCATCTTCTTCAACCCAGACAGCAAGCACGGCATCAAGGCCATGAGGCAGAGGATCGCCCCCAACTCCAACCGCAGCGCCCGCAAACTCTACGAACAGGCCGTCAAACTGAGGAAGACCTGCTCTCACTTATTCACTGGTACAGTCAAAAACACACGCAGAGATTCAGTCTGCTGTGCTATGCTATGCGCAGTGGTACCGCAGTAGATGTATATTTGCTGTGATTTGAATGTTGTATGCTGAGGTTGGATGGTTTTCTCGTCCAGCCACCATTGATCTGAACTCAGCCAACGACGCCTGGTACGGCAGCGTCAAAGACTCCATCAGAGAGCAGCAGATGCAGGCTGTCTGGGTTTCTGACGGCAAGGTAAATACACACACACACACACACACAACACATACACACACATTGATTTCACAGGCTTCCCCTACGTAGTCAGTAACCCCCATGTGTAGAGCATCTTTCACATTATAGGAATGTTTCTGCTATTTTGTCCAATCATATCGATCATAACAGCAAACTGCATCCTCTGAAATGATCATACACAAGAGTTCAACATAAACTGAACATTATAACAGTCAGTGAAGGAGGATTTATTGTATTAGACTGCATTAGTTTCAGCTAACTAATAAACTGTCTACTGTATTATATAGTTTGCTCCTCTGTAGTTTGGTAGTCTATAGTGGACTAACCTCCCTTCTATCTTCCTGACACCTTCATAGCAGCCACTTGTGTGTGCGCGTGCTCTGAGCATGCTCACTGTATGTCTTCCTACTTCCTGCCAGTAGTGCTCTACAGCTCGGCTCTGTTTGTCTTTCCTTCTTCTCTCTTGTTCTTGTGCTATCCGTCTGTCCATCCTTCCTGCCTGTACACCCAAGATCCACCATGTGTCTCTTCTAGCTGGAGGGAGTAGAGAGTGATGGACTGGACTGCCAGGACGTGGAGCGCCTGTCCTTCCTGTCCGCCGACTACCTCAGCATGGACAGCCGACTGACGTCTGACCTGGACGACACCGCAGACGAGGCCGGGGCATACACCGACAACGAGCCCGATGCAGAGATGATGCACATCTCCGCCATCAGCCGCTCATCTGAACCTGTCACGGCTGAGGAGGTCAGAGTCTAACACACACACACACTCACACACAAAAAACTTCCATACAGCTAGTGTGTAATAAAATCAGTTTACTCAGTGAGTGAACTCCATGCTGCTCACTGTACTACTGTGCAGCAGCAGCAGCCTCTGACCATGAAAATGTCTTTTATCACAAGCTGTTTTACTGAGATAATGTTTAATTGACAGTTCATTAATATATTTTATTGACCGCTGGGCAGTAGTGGGAAGTAATTTACCGGCATGGTAAACAAGAGAGATGGAAAAAAAGCACTGCCAACATTTGAGGCAGTCATAAAGTCTGTCCCATATGGTCTGTGTCCATTCCTCCATTATTTATATTCCTTTAGTCCACTGATCAAAAAAATACTTTCATTAAAATTAATCAGAGTTGTGAATATTGTCATGTCCGTTGCTCACTGTCTGTATGCTGGCTGCCATAAAACCATTCAAGTGTCATGGTGGCGGCACAGTAGAAAAGAGTACAACCTGAAAAAAGCTGTTTGTTGTCAAATTTGCTGAACAAAACTCAGGAGAAGCAGTACAGTTAGAGAGTATTTCCATCTGTGCGGAGCAAGAGTCCCCAACAAAGACAGGTGGAGTTCAGTGATTTAAGCAAATAAACGTCCTGGCTAAAGTTTTACGGTAAGTATTCATCCTGTGAGCCCTCTGTCAAACAGACACTGACACACAGACCAGCAGCTTGCTGTGCATCCATGACACAGACAGGGAGCAGAGGAGAGAGATAAATAGTTGTAACCTGGTCTCTACGGAGTGCCAAACTCATCCCCTGTGTGCTGTCAACGGTTGACGGCCGGAAACGTCCCACACAGCAAAATGAGAAAAGGCAGGCAGAGGGCTGCAGGGTCTCTGCAGATACAGACACAAGTAGTGATATAGAAAGATTATGTATGTATGAGTCTATACATTCATTGTTTTTAAGGAAAATATGCTTCAAATGTTTTTCATTTAACCAAACTTTTTATACATGTTGTAAATGGTCACATGAGACGCAATACGTCTCCCTTCTCGCTTTACTTAAAGGCAGGCGCAAACAGATTTAAAAGAACTCAGAGTTGGAGCAGACCTTGAGTTTTCTTTGGGAGTTTGAACGGGAGTTTCCTCTCTCTGTGTTTAGCTTTGACTCTGAGGACAGTATGCAAACCTTTCCCAGACCACTCGAGAGTTCCCCTAAACTATCCATTGCTTTATAAACCAACAGCTGTATATTGCAAGATCAATTATTTGACACAAGGAGGTCAGTGCAAATACAGTCCTACTGGACTGATGTGATCTACTTTGTTGGTCTTAGTGGGACTCTAGCAGCAGTGTTCCAGCATTGTGATCCACTTTTTAGGCTGATTTTCATTCTCTCTATGTCTGAATCTATAACTGCACCAAAGTTTAGAGATTAAAGGTTAGCGCTGATTTAAAAATAATTCTTTAGTCTTTAATTAACAGTTCTAAGCCCCTTCTGAAGCTGTTGGGTCGGCGGGCTTTTGCTGTGAAGGCCTCGAGACCCTGGAGCAGCTGTTTAGCTGAGATTAGGCTGTCTCACTTTTTATATTACTCTCTTTCAGTTTCTTTCGTGTATCTTTTTCATGCATTTTATCTACTCTTTATCCCAAGCACTTCTTACTGTCTTGGCCAGTGCTTTATGATAATGTGTGTTTATTGTGGGACATGTCAGACATACACTCTCATAAACACACAGCCTGATACACACTTAAGCTCTCCTAGTTTTCCTCCTTTCACTCTCAGGATGTTGCTGCCATCTGTAGTTCAGACAGGGGATTACAGGGAAATCCAACTATCAGTAGCACAGTGTTGTATAGATTACCAGAAAATTAGGTGACACAATCTTTAAAGTCTGCATCTACAATGTGCAGTATGTACTTCTGTGGAGAGGAGATGTTAACCGGCTTATCTCAGTGTGTGAAGTTCTTCTGTACACAACCGTCATAAACAAACCAAACTAACAACAAACATATGTTCACATGATGACATCTGATTGACTAGGTTAAGGTGTACCTGTGCAAGCTAATGTTTTGTCAACCCCCATGTTCAAACATGATGACGGGGACAGAAAGAATCAGACATCCAGTATAGATACTGTCCAGACCAGAGGTTTGTATGAGGCAGACTGAATGAGAGTGACAAGATTTCACATTAGTTATTTCATTAGCTATCAAAAGGAGATCACGGTAGTCTAAATGTGTGTGATTCGGTTAAAGAGATGCTTCAGATGCTTCACTTTCCCAGAGTCAGAAACTGATAAAAACCTTAGGACATACCTTTTTTTATGTATTTAGTGTAGTCTGAAGGTATGTCAAAGAGAAATATTTGGCAGGAATTGAGCAAGCAAGAGAGGGCTGAGAGTTTTGCCTTTTTCCAAGCTTTGTCTGAGGGAAGGCCCACAGTGTCAGTCTTTGAAAGCCCCTCCACTGGACAAAACATTTCACAAGAGTCTTATAAATGTTAATTTTTGGAAACTGAAATGTCTAACTGTCAAGACAGGGCTTGGGTACTCTGGGACAAATGCTTGGAAATATCTTTCTAAATCTGTCTATTCAATTTTACTACCTACTCTACCCAGTATCCCTTTCCTTCTTAGCCCATACCTCCACTGGGCAGGCCAAACATGGAAAAACAAGAAATCAATATCAGAACAAGAAAACAACAACACACATAAAGCTGTAGTACAAACTAATTAGAAGCTTGAAAATATAATTTAATATTACAAAAATCAATATCTTTCATTGATATTTCTGTGGTCAGACTGCTGCCAGTCAAACCAAAGTCAGGTCATCTTAACAGGGTGAATGAAGGCCACAGTAAATCTTGAACTGAACTAGCAACACACCAACCCCTGTCAAGGTCTTTCCCACTGACCCACCCTGTCTACTGTATGGATGTATACTATTGTGTGTGTGTGTGTGTGTGTGTGTGTGTGTGTGTGTGTGTGTGTGTGTGTGTGCGTGTGCGTGTAGATCTTGCGCAGGTACAGTCCAGACATCAGGAGTCGCATGAGGAAAATCAGCAGCCGGGAAGTCCTCAACAGGTCCAGCCCTCCACCTGTCTTCTTATCAGACAAGGTGAGGAGTACATACAGAATATCTCTGCAGTAGAGGTATGAAGGCAGAAGCAGGGTACCTCTGGAAACACTGAAATGTAAATCCACCCTCCTTTTTTTTTCTGTTTGATACCATTGGAAGACTTTTCATTATTTTCTGCAATTTTATATAATAACCAATACATAGATTTATCAGAAGAATGAAAATAATTATAGGTCTTATCATTAGCCAGGGTAACAATGTGTCGAAAAGTGTATGTCTGAGTCGAGTGCCATCCATTCACCAAACAAAGTGAACAATGAACTACAATTAAAATCACTGAGAAAGAGAGATCCATTTATCTGGTAACACTTATGCCTCCTTCAGGCTGGCTCCGCAGCTCAATTTTGGTGCAGTGCTCCTGTGGCACATCTAGAGGAACACATTAAGGTCATGTCAAACCAAATCATTTATTTTCCTGCCTATGTATATGTATATATTGTGTGTTTGCTGTATCAGCTTAGATGTCTGTGTTACAGCTACAGCTAACCCTAACCCCAAGTGGCGAAAAAAAAAACAATGCATGCAGCTTTAAATATAAAAGTTTTTTTTAAGTTCTATAATGATATCAAAAGTATACATACAGAAAAGGTTGTTCAGCATATGAACAGAAAGTGGTTGTTTAGGACTTAAATGTAATGTAATGTGGTTGCTGCACTATGCTTCGTATGACTGCCTTTCGGGTGAAGCACCAGTTTAGGGGTGTAAGAGTCCAACATCCTTAACTCTCCATATATCAAAAACTTTTGTTATATATGACAGATCATATGACATTATTTCTTAGCAGTAAACAGTAAGTGTGACAACCTACAGTAACTCTGACTCTAACCTCCACATCCACCCTGGCAGCTCTTTCCCACCATCCAAAGGAACAATATGCCCTTCTTGCTGAGGAACGGCCTGATACGGAGAAAACAATCTCACTGCAGTTCAGATTCCTCCAACAGCAGCTCAATGGACCACATGGGTACCCAGAATCCCCCTCAATTGCTGGTACATGGTGGTGGGCTAGTGTATAGCAGTTATGTTCAACCTTAAGCTGTGTACAGGTTTTCATTCCAACAACACATCACAGCAACTGATTTAGATGATTAGTCTTCATCTCTGTTCAGAGCACAGTGAAAGTTGTTAAGGGAGCTGTTGTTTGGTTGGAATGAAAACAGTTTAACTGTGTTTCCTCGCCTAATAGCCAGTTTTGGGTGTAGCTTTAAAGTTTGATCCACAGTGTTGTTTGACATATTTGTTTTTTGATCTTTTGATGTTGTCCCACCATCAGTCCCACCAGTCCGTTTTGGAGCCAAGGCTACCTCTAAAACAGACCCACTAGCCTTAATACCCTGTTAGTACTAGATATATTAGTCTTCCTAGAATATGAAAATATAGACATTTTAGTGAATGGTTCTATCCATAGGTGTGGACTTAAGTCACGTGACTTTGACTCGAGTCACAAATTTGATTATTCACCTTGACAAAATCAAAAAAGACATGCAACTCCACTTGGACTTGAGCCTTTTGACTTTAAAATACTTGATACCTTGCCCCAAAGCCCAGTATGTTTTTTACAAACTAGTCACTAATCAATTCATCTCCCTTCATTTCCTTAAAAAAACTACCATTAAAGCTATTCATTCCCAGCAAGTTCATACTTAATTTCCCAGATCTACTGTTTGAACCAATCCGACGGTATCCAATCAAGTTGCGAGAACATTTCTCTCAGGCTTTGCACTCTCTCTGTTTTCATCATACTTTCTGGGCCCTCTTCTCTTTACACAACGACTCTTGGTGCTGTACACATGCATGGCGTCGCCTACCACTGCTATGCCGATGACACCCACCTATTCTTGTCATTCTTGCCTGGCTGACATCTTATTGTGGATGTCAAGGCACCACATAAAGTTCAACCTGAAAAAAAAAACAATCCCTGTGTTCCTCCAAGGAAAATGGTCACCAAGACCTGTTTGACAACACGTGGTGGTGCCAGCTCAAACAGCGAGGAACCTGTACGTCACCCTGGAAGACAAACTGTTGTTCTCGGAAAACATTGCAGTAGTAGCCCAACCCTGTCAATTCCTCCTTTACAACATCTGGATGATTCCTCCTTCCTCTCAACCCACTCAGACACCTCTGTTCTGGCTCCCCACTCACTGCTCTTTTTTTTTTTTTTTTTTTACAATGCTCGCACTTCCTTATGTCTTGTTTCTTTGAGCACTTGTACTGTAGCACTGAACATGCTTTTAGTCGTTTAAAAAAGATACACTCCTAATTTTGGATGATTTCTTGCTTCTACGTGTTTGAATGCACTCATTTTAAGTCCCTTTGGACCAAAGTGTCTCAAGTAATGTCTGGCAGAAATGAGGATACAAGACACAGTGAATGAGAAAAACAATTACAACAAAAGATTAGAAGTAAGATTGTTGAAAAATAAAGGATTACAAACCATACAAACCAAAAAAACTGGAAGTGGATTAGTGTTGAAGAATTGGACACCAGTACTGTTTGCTGATAGTGGGAGCTGTTTGAAAGACAGAAATGGTTTGTGTTACATGGTTTTGTTTATCATAAAAGTCAGGTTGGGCTTTTTCTACAAAATACTAGAGATCTGTGACTACCACGCACTGTAAGTATCTCTTCTGTCTCTAACACTTCCTCTCCTTGGTCAGGTGAAACTGTCTCTGAGGGACGATCCGGTCCTCATATCAGGCTCCAACAACCCACACCATCACCACCGTCAACACCACCCTCCACCCCCCAGCTCCAGCCGAAGTTACGATTCTCCCTCCAGCAGCAGCCCCGCCAGCAGCAACAACGACCCTCCACCACCCATCTCTCGTTCAGCTGCCTCCTCCGGCCCGCTGCCTCCACATCCGGCTCTCCACTTCAACTCCTGCGGAAAACTGCGGCCCCTGGGAGTGCCCCAGCCTCCACCTGCGCCCAAGCTTAGCCTCTGTGGGAGCACGGCAGAGCCTGCAGTTCACTCACCTGTCGCTCTGCAAAGTGCGACCGTGTTGGCCTGTAGGCAGCAGCAGGGGGCAGTGGAGGACAGCCCTGTAGAGGATCCTTCAATGAAGTCCTTCCTGGGGAAGATCAAGGCCTTCGAGAAGATGGATCACTTCGCCCGAGCCCAAAGGATTCTGGAAGTGCAGGAAGCACAGAATGCCAGGGTAGGCATAGCTCAATTCAACGGCAGTATCATGAGGTGTATTACAGACAATAGAGGTCAGGCACTTAGATCAGTTCTGCTTCAAGTGATTCATTTACCATTACATACAGTAATACTCCCCAAACCTAAAAACACACTTATGTGTAAAACGTGCTGCAGACATCATCCGTCCAGGTCTGGTCTCATTTTCCTGTCACTGAGATCACTGATTTGAGCTTTTTGGTCAGCTGATCACACACTTTGTTTTACAGAGAAATATGACAACACATATATGCAGCCAAAGGGGGATGATGTGATTTTTGAAGTTTTGCACAAATAATTCTCTCATATTCTCATTATCGAAAAGAGTTTCTCGTTTTAACAAGATCCTTTTCACTTTATAACAATAATATTTGATGATGACACGTCTCTGTTTTACCAAGAAACTTTTCTTGTTTTAAGAACATCAGTTTATCATGATAAATTGCCTGTGTCCATATGAACATTTTCATATTAACATTTTGTTAAAACAAGATTTGTTTTATATTAAAATAAATTAAATTTAAATGTATATTTATTTAAATATTTTGTCATGGTGGCACCAATACCCTGTAGTTATCTAGGAAATCTGTCGTTATGTTTTCTATATGTAATGTTGCACATGCTCCTATTGAGGACATGAAAGACGATGAGATAGGGTAAACTTTCATGCAGAAAATGTTCACTGGGAGTTGTGCAAAGTGCATGTAACAATGCCACCATCTGGCGGAGTAACATGTTAAGATCAGCCCATGAACAGCACATATCAAATACCAACACAACATGTAACATTGTTTCACTTTCTTAAACATAATGCAGAACACATACAGACAGTATACAGACTGAGACCCTCAGAAAGTATTCCATACAGTTCCTTCTAGTTTCCTTCATCATTTCTCAAATGTCTTATAGTTAACTGCATTTTGAATACCAGCCATTACAGACGTTAATCAACTAATCTGTGTTTGCAGTTGGAAATTTCTCAGAAGCACCCAGACATCTATGCTGTTCCCCTGAAGACAGCCAAGCTGGATCACAGTCGCCCACAGCCTATCGGGTAGGCTCACTACTGCCATACGACTGTTTCCGAGCTCCGCTGTGAGTGTATTTGTCAACGTCTCTGCAGTGTGTAACCTCCCACTTTACAAGATAGCACTGATAGTGCAGCCTAAGAGGCTTGTATTGTCCAGGAAAGAGAGAATTCCATCAACAAGCTAGTATTAAGACACCAATCATCTGACAATACAGTCAGCCAACAGATTATCCTTAAGATTTTAGGGCTGGTTGACTTTTATCACTGCAATCTGTCATACATGGCAAGTTTGAGTCTTTTAAATATATTGATATATTTTAATGGAAGAGCAATAGGCCACGTTCAGGCATCACATACACATTTTTTATTATATTGCATGCCATTACTTACTGTACTGTAAAGGCTGACAAGCATAGGTGACTGCATGATTGGAATATGTACTTGACTGGTTAACCCATTTGGAATGAAGTGTGGGTTATGGTTGTACAGTAGAGTCAGGTAAAGGAAGGTTCTGGTTTTATGCAACTTTAAACTTTTATTTTGCCATAATTTATAACTGTTAACTGTTAAAGTTAGTCTGAATGCAGCAACATTGCTCAGAAACGGTCCAATCACTGAGCTTAAATGGGTTGGAAACACGAGCAGTCAGATGATAAAGTAAGTCAGCAAAATGTTTACCCAAACTGGGATCACTGTACAGACCCACTTCCTGCTTCAACTTTGACTACTATACTAAATATAGTTGACATATAGCTGGTGTCCTGTGCAGTGAGGGATTATTAGTAATGTGTGAGGTGTACTCACTTTCAGTTTGACCTCCAAATAAAGTGGTTTAGATCATCCGGATGAACTGTCGGCTTGGTCTGATCATCTGCTTGAGTTTTTAATACTTTGCTTAGCAATGTCACTGTTCACAGATTTCAGCAAGTAACTTGGTGAGTACAATGTTATCATAAAGGATAGAAGATTTAATACCATTCCAAGAAGACAAATCCAATTTTGATTATGCTATCAAATGGGTCAAAACAAGGCAAGTGTCTATAGCACTGGTTATCAAAGAGCTGCCTGTAGTGGTATGTGGAGAAAAGTAATTTTATCAAAATACTACAACATTTCAAATGAAAATACTTAAACTATTAGATTGCTGAAATGTAATTTAAAACAAGTTTGACATTTCCTGTAATATTTAGTTTCAATATTGCTACGTAGTCACATTCATTCATGTATTGTGCGCATACATCCATGATTAGTTGGAGGCTAAAATGTGATCGTAAGATAGTAAGCAGATGCTATTGTGGCTTCAAACCGAAACTATTCGGAAGAGAAGTGTGGACCCCAGAAGAACCTTTTTTCCACCAAATTAGCTCTGGTTCCTGTACTGGTTCCTTTCAAGAACCAACAACAGTTAACAATAAATAATCTTCTTATTAGGAATAAACCTGCTTCCTGCGTGAACTGTCTGTAGCTCAATAGGGTCTGCTTACCCTACTGTATTTTAACATCGCTCATAATGGTAGGACTTGACTTGGAGAGCCTGATATTTTTTGAGGTGGTACGCAGTGTAAAAAGTTGGAGAAACACTAGTCTATAGCATTTGTGTCGTACCTACTGGAAAAAAGAAAGGGAGAGAAATTTGCTCACAGGAACTGACCTCCATGCCAACCCGTACTGGGGGATTAGGTTGAAGGTGGCACTGCCTCCAGTAGAGCTTACAACATATGGTAACGGCCTGATAATTAAATAGAATTCACAGAGTGACATACCAGCATGATGGGAAAGTCAGGTTGTCACCAGTCATAAGAATGTATCCTCTGGGGACCTCGAATATCTGTACATTTCATGCCAGTCCAATAGAGGATCAGAGTCAGCACATCTATCCAGTAGTTGTTGAGATATTTCTCTCTGGACCAAAGTGGTGGACAGACAGTCATATTGTTGATCAGCAAATACAAAGTGTTGCCAAGGCTAGTGGAGCACAAGCTAGACCAGAAGTGGAGGACTCAGTTGTATATTCTGTGTTCTTCCAGCTCCAGTTCCTGTCCTGAACGCCAGACTCCTCCGTCCTCCAAGGAGGGAGGACATTTCTACTCCAGCGAAGAGGGTGCAGGGGAAGAGGCAGTGCCAGGATACTACACCGCCAACTCCTACCAGTACCAGGACACTGAACTGTAGGGCCAGCACACAGCAGTTGTGCCGTCCGTCACCTTCCTGGACATACATGTACACATGCACTGCACATGCAGTTTATTTACACACTTACCATTCCATCATGTCCTGCACAAGTAAGCTGCTGACTTTGAACTGACTCTTGCTTCTTTAATACCGAGGGGGAAAAAAACTGCCTTTTTTTTGCTTCAAGGAAGTTAAAGCAATCTGTACTATCCTTTTGGATAGGAACACACTGTCTTCACTTTACTTTTTATGTTGTATTTGATTGTTTCTTTGTTACGTACCACTTTTAATGGTCAAAACTGAGTGACTAGGAACCACTTGTTTTCTTGCCTATGCAACTCTTCAGTTTGTGCACAGCAACTGAAACCTATTGCCACGAGTTTTGCCCTCACAGAAACCTCAACAAACCCAAAAACCCAAATTGCGCTTTAACACATCCATCCCCTGCTTTTTTAAGCTCCTATTATTGCCAGCTATGATCAACAAAGGTTACGTTTATATTATTACATACAGCATATATATACGTATATATAAATCTATATATATATATCTAAAGTCAAGTGTTTATACTCTGTCTTTGCATTCCTTCGTATATGACAATGCCTGTGTATACATACAGTATATATCTATATATATTCTATCTAGTAACTCTGGAATTTGTTACAATTTTTTGAAGTGCCTTTTACTTTCTTAGTTCCATGAGGTTCGGGTTGTCTTTCCTCCGCCCCTCAGCCACCCAGCCGTACTAAAACCTCTGCTGCTGTCAAGCTTAAAGGGAAACCAGGGAACCAGTGACACCAAAACCTTAATGCTGTCCCCACACACTGTACTGTCTGTTGTCACCTTCAGTGACAAAACACACCCACAAAGTACAGTACACACCCTGCACCTCCAGTCCCATCTGCCATGTGTAAGAACGAGTAAACACTGTCTGATCTGGGATAATTAGACTTGGTCACAGCTGTAAAGGCCCGGTCACTCCAGCATTAAAACAGCAACATTTGGTGGAAGAATCCATTGATTTCAGTAGAATATACACAATTGATGGACTAGTTCTAGTAGTAAATTTGAACACCAAGTTGGATTTTGGTGAATTTTACAGCTTAAGCTTAGGTCTGTGGTCTTGACAGTGCTGTTCTTTGAAGGAACAAAGAGCCGGAGAGTTAACAAACAGGAAGCTATCATTGCTCATTAGCTCCTCTGGGATTGTATAAACTGCTCCACAAAAGAGGCGTGGAGTTTAAACAATTATGAGACAAATGTTGAAATAATGCCCCTTAGCGTCCACGCTAATTAGCTTGCTAAACTGAGTTAGCAAGTTAAATAGTTAGCTCAGGAGAGCTATTGTGGTGTGGTTTAGCTCTAGATAGTTTCTCCTGTACACGTGGAAGGCAAGCTGTATTCAGTTGATTGCAATCTGCAACTTCACCATTAACACTAAATCCAGTACATTTTGCTGTGCCACTTTCTGGTGTGACTGGGCCTTAAGATTCCCATTTCTTATTTTTGTCATCTTTGGTGCTCAGCATTCATTGCTGTGCTGTTTTAGCACTGTACCTCCAAGCCAGAAATGATTTGCCATCTTAACTGTGTGGCAAGTAGAGTGACGTCTTTAGCCCTGGATGTTTTGTACAGTTGAAGTTTCTGCAGATGGCGCCCTCTTCTGGCTGTTTAGCCACGGTGGCTATCACTGCCTAAGCTAACAACCCTGTTAAACGATAAGGTGGGTATTATTCTATATATTTTTTTAATGGTCAACAAATCCATTGTACAGATACAAACCAACAATGAATTGATCCTCTTTGCAAGTATTATGTGTGTTTCCAAAACCTGATTCCTCTGTGTCATAAAGCTCCATTGTTGTTGTTGTAAAAACATCATCAATCAAGGAAATATTGACAAGAACACTAGAACACAAATCCACTATTTCCTCCTGTTTGAGTAATGTCTGATAAAATGTGTCCAGCTGCTTTAAGAATGACTTAATCTTTTTTTAAATTGACTGGTCTTCAGTATAAACCAGAAGGTTTAGAGAGACAGACTAACCCATTGTTGGTTTTGGTCTTTATGTGGAGTTTACTGACAGTAAGAAGAACATAGAATAACACCACCCTTTTCTTTTCAAGGCTGTGTCCCATTTCAGAACCGCTTCCTATGAAAACTGAATAAGAGGAGCAGGATTAGTCCTCTGGAGGTATGGCCAGATGAATTTGCTATGGGGCATTGTGCCTAGATTTAGACTCAGAACCCCACTTGAAGAACTCAAGACCGACCCCCCCCCCCAATTCCATGCTGGAACCAAAAAAAAGCAGGTTTGTCCTTGGGAACCAAAGGGTGCATGTCATATTCTACAGGTCGTTGTGCATTGTTCAGCACTCTCTGTTGATGACGCATCCAATTACAATGGTTCCACTTAAAACTGGTGGAAATGTGGGCTGGTTCGCTAGATAGCACCAAGGTTTCAAGAAACAACCGGCTCCAGAACCAGAACTAATTTGGTGGAAAAGGGGCCAGAGTGGAGCAAAATGTACAGATTTATACACCCAGAAGGATCTGTGTTAGATGAGTCTACTTCCTAAGCCACATTTGCTAACCCACAGTGATGGGGTCCCAGCTTTGGGTGTGTGTTCTGCCTGGGTCTTGGTGTCTGTGGTGGAGGCACTCAGCTGTCTTTGGTCTGGGCTCCACCGTCAGTGTGAATGAATGGTGTCACACTTGTTCAGATATGCTTGATTGTATCTCTCAGTTCATTCTTTACCTCCACACGAGTTACAAAGTGCTTACTGTCAGAATCCAAGTGCTTATGAGTGGCGTCCTTCACGTGGACTGGCATTGAACTTATGGAGTATACTGTACTGTGTCATGGCAAAGGGGTTATATAACAAATGAGACGGAGAGAATGAGAAGAATGACTGGACTGTGTCTGCTGAGTTTTTCCATGTTTTCACCTTAAAACACCAAATAAAACAAAAAGTCTTAACCACACGTGTAGCGTATGTACTGTGATTATTTTGAGAAAGAGATTTTACAGTTGATTAGTGGAAGTCATACAAATTGAGTCTCATATTAGCTTCAGGTGAACTTTAGAATGCAATTTTGCAGAGAACAAGCACTATGGATTCCGACCCCATCTCTTACAGTGAGTCAGTCTACGAAGACATTGCTTCATGGTCCAGATGGAGAAGAGTGAATACAGCGACCAATAAATCTTTCTACACATGGGATGGGATCATATTATATTAAGATGTGCTTTATAAAATCCACTTCTATCCTTTAATCTTCAGTTTCTTCTCCATACTTATTGCACTTGGAACATCACTATCCTGCTTTTATTGGCTGGTTTATACTCCTACATTTATTCATCTTCTGTCAAATTAGCTGATTTTCCCTCTTTGCTTTGAGGCTCAGAACAGGTTCACTTTGTTTGGACGTCAAAATACTAGAGAAAACATATAATTCAGTTGTGGTTCTGAAAACAGCAGTAGTAGAAACAGTAGTAACAGGAGGTAATGCAAGTGGTCTGAATATAGACAATCATGTATTAGCACTCTGATTCCAGAAAGTGTTGCACAGTTACTGTTACTGATAAGTAAATGGGTGGAAAGTTGCAGGAAGCAATGAATTGTCTGTCCTCATGACAACAAGCTTTTACTAATATCTGTCATTTTTTTTGGCAATGTGCCATTTCAGGGGGCATGCATTCTGTTTTCCACTGCACAAAGAACTGTGATGATGGAATTCTCTGAAATGTTGATCAGTATGTGGATAATAGCAGTCAGTGGAGGACAGGTATTCATGCTATGGGTATCTGATTAAAGGCTTGAAGAGTCAGTCCACTCGTATTACAAAGAAACTTTCTCACTTCTCTTTAGTGGCATCTCGCCTGTGTCTGTATTCTAGATAACGTATAATAATAATGTATTCTAGATTATCCAGAGTAAAGAGTACATTGTGAAATGATGTTTTTACAAAAAGTTAGGTTAGTTTTTTAGTTAGAAAGGTTGTTTTTCTAAATGTATCATATCAAAGTTATCCAAAACCTCACCACCTAAAATAAATTCCAAGTCACATGATGCCTCCTGAGCCAAGAAAGCCAATAAGTAAAATATGAAAATGAAGAGATTCGTATGAACAGCTCCCTGCAGGATGCCTTGAAGCTGGGTGTTGTTTGATAAGGTGCAGCATGTTGTCAGCAGAGATTTAGAGATGGGAGGTAAATGGTTGCCATGAGGCTCTCAGGACGCAGCCAGGTCAACGCTGTGGTCACATGATCTTCAACAGCAACATGCATTACTGAAGATTAATCACTGCCGCTGGTGCAGCCCAGGGACGATGTGTGGAGGTTATACATGATTCATGCGCAGATAGATACAGTCAACATGGTGGAAAATCCGCTATGTTTTTTCCCACTATTTCTTTCTATATTTCTCATTGTGGAGCTACAATCTGCTTCTAGATGCTGCTGTTGCCTCCTTTGGACCTCCTTTGAACCTCCCTTCAGCCCAAACACCTCAAATACATAAGTGATACATAAGTATGTGTCTAAACCGAGCCAAAGCTTAACCACAGAGGTGGCAGATCATGAAACTCATTTACTTTGTAATACCTTTTCTCTCTCTTCCTTCAGGCTTTTTTTTAGAACAAGCAACTGTTTCATCAGAAGGTCCTGTGTTGGTAGGGCTGTGCTGCTGCAGGTATCAGTGAGAGGTTGGAACAGGCTACAGGTCAGGAAGTCCATATTGAAGGCACTGCACACTTTATCCTCCTGTCAGGCAGAATTTTCCAATTTTGTAAAGTTATCACATTTCTCCTCTTTGTATAATATCTACATAATACAAAGGATTGTTCAGTATGTGCACTTTCATGTATTTGCCTGGCCATGCAGTGTGCCAGGATACACTGATTGTAGAATGACCCTGTCAATCATCTCTGTAGGACAGCACCATTATAAGTGTACTTTAATTAGACTGGGTTAAGGAGTTCATTCATTTGAAATATTTTATCCTCCTGTAATTGGCCAGTTCATTGAACAGCTTTATAACAAACAGAAACAGGGTCCTGTATCTTTAATTCAACTCTTTAAAGCAATATGGTGGGTAGTACCAAAGGGAAGTCCCACAAGATGCTGCCTTACTTTATATGTCAGAAATAAACAAAAATCACTACTAATAAAAAAATATAAATAAAAGCAAATGTAAAATGGTCGCCATACTTTTGTGTTCTTCACTGGTGTACACAGGTGTCAACATCAAAGATAGAGAAAACAGAACAGTCAAATGACAGGTATCTTTTAGTGTCTTATTTGAGTTTAGGAAATCCTGTTTCAAGAAGTTTGCCAGCCAGTTTGAGACCAGTAAGTGTTTCTATATAACGCTGTGGTCACTTGATCTATATAGGCTATATATAGAGAGAGGTCAATAATGGCTTATGAGATTGCCTCCCCTTTATGAATAAAATAATTCTATAAAAAGAGAAAAACATGAAAACAAAGATTCAAGCAGCTGGAACACAATATTGATAGAAATGTACAATTATTAGACCAGATGAATACATTATAATGAGATCCATGAAGTGTAATGAATGTCTGCTAATGAGAGAGCTTTTCACATGTTTTGGGGATAATGTATGAACGCAGACATTGGCTGTAGTGATGGGGGGGGTTTGCACACGGGCCCGGGGATCACTCCGCCTCGCGTGGACGAACTAACACTATTGAACCCACGTGTGTGTGTGACAGTGTAACGCCTCCAGAGTGCGCTTTATTTCAGGCTGGTGGATTTGTCCTGTTTACATGCACACTACACATGGCCCACTCTGCCCCTCCCCCGTCCTGACTTTTCTCAACCCGCTGCCAAAATATGTGAAAGTCAATCCAGGCTGCCGTTCAGCGAGCGTGTTATTTAAAACTGGACACCATCATGGCAGGGGCACCGAGCAGCTCCACGCAGCTCGGCGAGGATCCACCCTTGAGTCCGTGAAAACGACACAAAGTCGAGCTCCGAGATTTCCCCCTGCATTCTGTCGAGATGTCGCTCCCGGTGGTGCTGCCGGGGTCTTGCTGTCCGGTCGCCGGGGCTTCGCAGCTCACAGAGCCGCCTTTCCGAAACCGACCCCGTGGCTTGTCCGCCTCTTCCCGGATCGCCGGCGGTGGCTCTCGGCTGCTGCTGCCCGGGCGGCCGCTGCTCTCGCTGGGCTTGTTGCAGCTGCTGCTCGGCGGCTCCATGGTGGCGCTGTCCTTCGGAGCTCTGTCCCTCAGCAACTCGCCCCCCATCCGAAACTCCTGTCCCTTCTGGGCTGGCTCCTCGGTAAGTTTAGCCACGGGCTTCGATGTCATCAGTGTGCATGGCATTGCATGTTTTATGACAGTGGTGTGCCTCTAACATGATCTCAGAATACCCTTCCCAAGAGTTCAGAAAGGAGAAGGCTGTAAACAGTACAGGGTGGGAATTAGCCCCTGAGGTGTTTTCTATCGCTGTTTACCTTCTTTTAATAAAGGAAATGACGACAGAAAACTGCTGTATATCACAAGCATATGAGCTGGAGGTTCTTTGACTGGCTGCCATTAGTGCTGTCTGTCTGTCATGCAGTGTGACATGAGGCTGTCAGTGCTCTATGTGCTTCCCCTGCTCGTTATTGTGAGAACTACTGTGGTAGTTTGATAGTATGGCACTGTAGAGGGAGCAAATAACAAGAATCCCATCAAAGACTCTGCTCTGCTGTTTAATGGAACCTGCAGAAAACTACTGTGTATTACAACCTGGGTTTTAGAGCTTCTGTAAGTTTGGTACTCACCAAAGGGGGGCACGGAACGCCAGCAGCTGGAATATCAGTCTGCTTTCCAGAGAAATCAAAGGTGAATGGTAAATAACATATTACCCAGTGTCGATCACAGTTTGCAGACTGCCTCCTCTGTGAGCCACTGTTTTTGGCATTATGGGTTATTCACTGTGGGTGGGCTCACTTTCAGTTTGACTGCCAGATAAGTGACACAGATGATTTGAATGAACCGTCAGCTTGTTGACATTGTCTGTTTTTAATTCCCAGACCAATGCTTTAGAGGGACTTGGTCTCACTTATTTGAGAAAAGATAAACATTAACATAACTTTGAAAGCAAACTGTTCAAATGTCGTTTCATTTAGAGGTTAGAGTTGCTAACAAAGACTTGTGACGTGACTTAGACTTGCTTTGACAATACTAGGCTTGGACTTGTCTCGACTGACTTGAGATTTTCTTTAATGAGACTTGAAACATGACTTCTTCAAATGCAAATGTTGTGTCATCATTCAGAGACTTTACAGTCTTGCACATTGACTTGCAAATGACTTATGAAGACTTGGTACTTGACTTGGACTTGTCTCAACTGACTCTGGACTCGAAGATGTGCTGGATGCAATGGTTATCTAAAGCAGGGGTCACCAACCTTTTTGAAACTAAGAGCTACTTCACGGGTACTGAGTCATACGAAGGGCTACCAGTTTGATACACTCTTCTGAAATAACACATTTGCTCATTTTGCCTTTAGTTATATATTATTAATGATTAATGATACTCATCTATGTGAAGACACTGATTACGTTAATGATTTCTCATAATAATTATCAACAATGACTTAACAAGGTGGGAAACAGATAATATCAATATTAAATTTTCATTTTTAGAGAAGGCCTGCGGGCTACTCATGTGGTCCTTGGGGGCGACCTGGTGCCTGCGGGCACCATGCTGGTGACCCCTGGATTTAAAGCTGTGCTAGAGTGATGATTTTCCTTTACCATTGCTAACGCCTCATTAAATCAGTATTGCTTTTTTCCCATTTTTGTTTTTACACGTTAAGCAAGATCGAAATCCAAGACAAATGTTCATGATTTCACATTTGATGGAGCTAGGCGTACATTTTCCCCTGGCTTCCAGTCTATGTGCAAAGCTCGGCTAAACACATCCTGGACACCCCGGTAATACAGCAGACAGAGCTCATTTCCCTGCATTTATCTGGCTGAACATCCTTGTTACTGTCATCATTAACAGTTCAAAACATGTTCTGTTCTGTAGTTGAATAATAAGGCATTAAATCACATCCATGGTAAATGAGGAATTCTTGTTTGAAGTGAGTGTTGGCTGTGTACTGACACAACATCTCATTCCACTGCTGCTCCCACCTTTGGAGAAGATTAAATTCCCTTATCTCCTGCAGAGAATCCCCACTCTGCTTGTATTACATATCTCCATCAATTCAAAGCTATTAAAGCCTAAAGCCTATCACCGTCCACTCCAGCTCTCCAGTCCCTGCTGAAGCATTCCTGTTTCTCCAACCATGTGTTACACAGGACAGTGTGCGTTGTGTTGTAACAGTATGACAGTGATTGGCAGTTGGTGGACTGTAGCATTTCATACCTGCCACACTGTACATTTGTTGTAGTGGAGGCTAAATTTATGTTTTATGTACTATCGTAAGAAAAAGCTACTGCGGGTCGAGATAATCACTCGGGAGCGTAGAAACTGCGGGTCGAGCCATATGGGTTTTTGAAGGCTGGTAACTTGTGATAATCTAAGTTGTTGTGGTTTTTTTTTTAATAAACAATCAAATGACTGTGAAATATGTCTGTAGTATTCACAAACATAGAGGAGAATGAATATTGGACTTACTTTTTTCAATCATTAATTTAACATTAATTACTTTATTATGTGAGAAAATGGAAAATACCTATCACCCAGAGGCCAAGCAAGGGGATGTCTTCACATTGCTTGTTTTGTCCAAAGTCCAAAAGAAAGATATTCATCTTACACATCATGTAAAAAGATTTAATGGTGAACATGAATTAACTAATTTTCACTAAAAACCTATGCAATAATTTGGGAACCCTTTGCATTATTCTGTTACTTTTAATGACAGTGATTACTTTGGTGGTTTACTTGTTAGGGCTTTAATAAGTCAGGTCAATATCATTCCTGAACTATTTATTCTGAAGTAACTCTATGCCTTCTAAAGTATCCGGCTGCAGTGGCTGCTGTTAACGACCATGGGTTCCTCTAACCAGTTGTCCAAAGATGTCAGAATCAAGATAGTTCACTTTCACCACCAACGAGAAGGCTACAAAAACTCTCTCAATGTTTCAAATGGGCTATTTCCACCGTCAGACACATTATCAGAGAAGATAAGAGGAGACCAAGACATATGTCAAATAGAATGGGTCGTAACCTGGTGAGAAATGGTTGTGTGGCAGCTGGGGGCACAGGAAGGAAAATGGATTTCAAATATCAAGAAATTCTAGAGGCTAATGTTTGAAGGTCAGTGCACACATTGAAGTTGAAGAGTGGTTTGGTAATTAAGCTAGGAAGCGATCCAAACAATACCTCAAAATCTACCATAAAGTACCTCCAGGAAAGACGGATGAAGGTTTCAGAATGGCCACCACAGTTCCCAGACTCGAGTATTAATGAAAATCTGTGGAGGCTGAAGAATATTTCTGAGCTAGAGGTGTTCTGTCCGGAAGAATGTGGAAAAATTCCTAAAGCAAGAGTTGAAAGACTCTTAGCTGGCTACTGCAAGTGTTTGTAAGCAGTTATAGTTCCCTGAGGAGGAGTCACAAAGTACCAACTGACAGGGTTCCCAAACCTTTTCCTTTTTTTAATTTTGAAAGTGTAAAACATTACAAAAAACATCTGTAATGTTTAGTTTACCATTTAGAAGTCAGATTGTCTTCTGTTGATTTTTAATATAATGGGGGCATTTTCCTACTCCTCAAAGGATCTACCAATGTCACGCCCTTCTAGAACCAACATTGGACTCCTCAGACTTCAAAAACTGCAGACCTGTATCCCTTTCTTTTGAAGACACTAGTACGTGCCGTTATTAACCAACTCTCTGCTTACTTCTCACAAAACAACCTCCTAGACCCCCTCCAATCTGGTGGTGACAGAAGCATTCCATGTTACTAGAGTGAACTCCCTCTCCTCTGTCCTCATTTGACACAGTGAACCACCAGATCCTCCTCTCCTCCCTTAAAGGACTGGCTGTCTCAGGCTCTGCACTCTCTCTGTTTGCATTCTACCTGACGAGTCGGATCGTGTCTGACTACAGGAGTTCTAAAGGGCTCCTTTCTGGGCCTTCTCCTCTTCTCCCTCACAAGCATGATTCATGCTGTCATACACTTGGATGGCTTCTCCTACCCCTGCTCTGCCAGTGACACTCAGCTATTCTTGTCACTTCCCCCATCTGACACTTAAGTGTTGGCACACGTTGCTGCTTGTCTGGCTGACCCTGTCGATTCCTCTTTTACAACATCAGGAGGATTTGCTCTTTGCTTACCAGGAGATGTTCGAGACATTTGTCATCTCCTGCCTGGATGTTCAACCTTCCCACAGGATATTCAAAATACCTTAGTTTTCCCACCCTACTTCTCTTCACTTACCTGCAGCTGCTTTCATTCAGTTCAAAACTCTGGTTCTAGAGGACCCTGTGGTTGCTCGTCTCACTCAGATTCTTCTGTTCTGGCTCCACAAGGTTGGACAGCAGATTTATTGCCCATCTTCTACAGCAGGATAAAAAAAGAATTGGTTAAAATAAAATTTGTGATGCAATTATCATTCCCACTAATCGTGAATAATATCGCAATATCTGTCAAAATAATTGCAATATGATGTTTTTATAACATAACCTATCATAACCATTTATTACAAAGTGTTCATATGCCGCAATAAGATGCACAGAGGTACAAAAAGGCATTAAATGGGTGAACTGTAATAATGCTATCATTTTGTTACGTATGTGCATGTGTATCCGTTTGTATAGTTCTGTTTACTAGTTCTGTTACTTTTCTGCTTGTGTTACCAGGTCATTCTGTCAGGCATCGTTGGCCTCACAACATGGAGAAGACCCATGCTGCTGTTGGTAAGGGACATGGCTTTGGCTCCTTCTACAAAGCAGTGATTGATTATAATGTTGTGTTGCTGTTAAATTATAATCCAATACTAAAAGGAACAAAGTTGGATTATTTAGAGTGGGAGAGCACTGATCAGCACTCCTTTAGGCAGAATGAATTAGGCATGTCATGATACCAGAAATTTCACGAGTACTGTACTGTAGAAAAACAAGCACCATAATGTTTTCATAATGTTGGCCTCTACTTGGTACTGAAGTATTTTCTTGTGACATTCCAAGAATTAAACTTTGAGTTAAACTTTATTATTGTGTCTTGCATAACATTACACCCAGCCCACACTGGCTAACAAGACATCAGATTCAACCAAGCCAGGAGCAGAATACAGTTTTATTGGGGGGGATTCTCGTAGCCTAAAATGGTTGATTTCACTGGCAGCTTTTCTAAAAAATTGCAATGCATGTTGGGATGATTATTATTTAGTTTGTTTTTTTTGCAATGAAATTGTAGAAGAAAATGAAGATAGCAAATACAGTTGTTGTTTTTTTTGTATAATTCATTAAACATGAACTTGTTCCAGCAAGAATGAAATCACAGCAGCAAGTGGGGTTTGATACAAGGGTTGGGCGATTGGATGACTATATTGGCTATTGTGTTTTTTCCGACCATTTTCGGTCTGTCTCTGGACAATGAGTGTAAGCTGCTGCTCAACAACAGACTCGTTCAGTGAGAACCTGAGCGAATATATCCTAAGATTTGAACATACTGCTCAACCCTATTTGGTACTACACCACATTGTCAGAAATCCAGCATTAGAGTAGCTGGTATATCTGTCTCCAGTTCATCCAAACAAACACAGGAAAAGGAATTTAATGTTTCTGAAGAGTTAGACATGTCCTCATCTAACAGCTCACTGTGGCTGCTTCTCACTTTTCCATTACTCCCCGCAATATGTAAAACTGGTCTGCTGTACAGAAATGCAGGACATTTCCAATTTCTGAGTACCACTGTTCATAGTGACAAATACTTTGTATTTCCTGTGAGGGTTTCACAATAAAAGCCAACCCATTGTTGACCAGTTACCAGTCTTTTAATATGAAGCAGCAGTAGGTAATGTGTTAGCATTAGCAGTAACAGCTGAGAGTGAACAGTAAACAGTGAGGCTGATATCAACCAGATCAAATTACAAACAGTAACTATGGATTACAGGCTGCATTGCTTCCTGTCAATACCTCTGTGTGAAGGCAATTTAAGTGTGGTAGTGGCAGACCCTGCCATTTATAATAAAACCTACTTTATAGGGAGATAATTACCGGGTATAAATACATCGAATGGCTAGTATAGTATCAAAATATTATCAAAAAGGTTTGATTTCATTCTGACTGAGGACTGGAATTTTGTAACTTATACATGTCATCAACTACATCTGAAGGAAAAAGTGTTTTTAGCTGTTCCAAACAGCCACACTTCAATGTATCGTTGTTACAGAGAGGGACTGGATGGGACAATCGTACAAATTAGGATAACAATCCACAGTTTCAGACTCAAAGGCATTCATAGTGTTGCACTCAGCTGCACATGTGTATTTTCTCGGCTCCGCACACAGGGCCAATCACAGCGTAAATTGGGCGGGCTCGTCTATTTGCCGGTTTCAGTAAAGTTACAGAAATTGTCAAACACAGTCCCCCAATTCAGCTGTCAGAAAGGGGCTGGGGATTTTTGTGAAAGTATTTTGTGAAAGCTGAGTAAAGTAAAGTGTTCTCTCTTGTTTTTTTAAAAATGATTCCATCATATAGACCCGGGCTATTCAATTGGCGGCCCCAGGGATTTTTTTTTTTTTGTACCGGCCCTTGGAGTGAAGTGTAGTTATTACATATGGGTAGTCTCATACAGCGCAGTAAGAGGCGGTATGCACCCCTTTAAGCCATGGTGGCAAAACACGTTGAAATATCTACCTGTTTCGGCCGGACGTATATTTTGGGGGACCACACATGACCAATCCAAATCGCCCATTCGCGCTCTAGTGCTGTGCTCTGACCGCTCTGACTTTCTTTCAAGCCAAGCACGAAGTTTGGTTAACAAGAAAATGTCTCTCTCTACCTTAAAAAAAAGAAAAGTTGACTCAGAGAACAGGCAGTTCAACAATGAATGGACAGAGAAATACGCGTTTATTGACATTGATGCGAATCCTGTGTGCTTAATCTGCAATGAGTGCCTCGCCGTGTGCAAAGAGTGTAATTTGAGAAGGCATTTCAAGACAACGCATGCTAACTTTGATGCTACTTTCCCACCGGGCTCTGATGCTCGGAGGCAGAAGATAACAGGGCTTACATCTTGTTATGAGCAAAGACGTCGCATTTTGTTTCGGGCCTGTACGGATCAAGAGAGAGCAACTGCAGCATCGTTACGAGTGGCATGGATATTGGGCAAAAAGAAAAAGCCATTTACAGACTCAGAGACAGTCAAGGAGTGTATGATGGCATCTATTGAGGAGGTGGTAACAGATGAGAAAACCCGAAAAAACATTATTGATTCGATCAAGCAAATTCCAATTTCTGACACGTCAAATATGAGGAGAGTCGAGTCCCTTGCATCGGACGTATTCGAGACACTTTTGGACAAGCTGAGGAAGGCCGAGGTGATGTCTCTGGCCGTGGATGAGTCGACTGATAACAGTGATGTTGCACAGCTGTGCCTCCTATGTGTGATTTTTTTGATGGGGAATGTTTTCGTGAGGATCTGCTTGGACTAATTCCCATGGAGGGGCACACTACCTGTGAGATTCTCTTCACCAAAATAGCTTAATTCTTTGAGGAGAACAACTTGGATTTGGCGCGCGTCAACATGCTGGTGACGGATGGTGCGCCCTCGATGGCGGGCAGGGATCAGGGGCTCACCGGGAGGATGGCAGCTGCGGCTCCGCAGGTGAGATCTCTACATTGCCTCATCCACCAAAGCCTCCTGTGTGCCAAGCTCAGTGGTGAGTTAAGAGACCATGGATCATGGCAATTATAAACTTCATCCGTTGTACCTCCAGTTTACAGCACCGCCTTTTCTGCAAGCTGTTGACCGACATGTCTGCTGAATATAAAGATTTGCTCATTCACAATGACATTAGATGGCTTAGCAAAGTAAACGCTTTGAAACGTTTTTGTGAACTAAGAGAGGAGATTCTGGTGTTTCTCCGGTCTTCAAAATTGAAAAAAGCTGGCAAGTTTCTGTCTCTGATGGAAAATGATGAGTTTAATGCCGCTGTTTGCTTTTTGAGCGACATTTTCCATCATTTGAACCAACTCGACATGGAGTTTCAGGGCAGAGATAAAACAGTCGCAGAACTTGTGGAGAAAAGCTGATCTTTGTCCTGGCTGGCAAGATGCTCCACTTCCCCACATTGAGGATATCAAATTACCGAGGTGATGTCAGGATTTATTGACTCATTGAAAAACAACTTTGCCACTAGGTTTGAGGATTTCAGCATCTACAGTGAAGTGATGAGATTTGTGAAGGATCCCTTTCTGTGTGAATGTTGAGGCAGACTTTGCATTGAGAGGGAAGGAGCTGGTATCATCATTGGATAAGGGGTCTTTACAACTGGAACTCAATGACATTCAGTCGTCAGATGACTTGCGACAGTCATTGCAGCAGGCAGGTTTTGAAAAATTCTGGATCCATGAAGTCAGCCGAGAGAAATTTCCACATTCAAGGGGTCTTGCACTTTTTCTTCTGACAATGTTTGGCTCAACATACACTTTTGAGTCGTCATTCTCACACATGAATTCCATTAAAACTCACAATCGCATATCCCTCACTGACCAGCATCTGCAACACTACTTGCGCATTGCCCTGACAACATATAGGCCTGTCGCGATATGCGATAAATCAATTAATCGCAGGATAAATAAAATGAGCTCGATAATTTTTTCGGCCGTGATAATTTCCATTTGCATGCTTGTTTGTTTTCCTCGTCTCTCTCTCTACCAAAGAGACTGGATGAGCACTCCGGTGCAAAGGTGACCCCTCTTGGTTCCTTAGCATAACGAGGAGTGAACCCTTGTGTCAGTCACTTGTCAATCTCTGTGTGGGGAGGCGGGACTCCTGGTGTAGCCTACCACAGAGTACAGCATAGGGCCGCATGAGGAGTATAACGAGAGAAAACGCTAGTTGAGAGTTGGAGGAAAAGATGGATTTAGTGTCAAAGCCAAACGCTACAGGTGCAGTGTGGGAACACTTCGGATTTAGACCGAATGACCGAGGTGAACCACCAAACCTGAACGAGTCGGTATGTCGCATTTGTGGAAAAAAAAGTATGTATTAAAAGTGGCAACACGACAAACATGCATATGCACCTCAAACACAACCATCCGATGCAGTTTTCCCAGCTGGGAAAAAAACTACCACAGTTGGGCCGTCTCCGGCTTCTCGACAGTACACAATCACTGGGGCGTTTAGTCGACAAACAAAGTACAAACAGGACAGTGCAAAATGGTGCGCACTCACAGACAGTGTAGTTCGCTTCATTGCTAAAGAGATGCTGCCCTTTAGTATCGTCGAAAAGCCGGCATTTTGGCAAATGATGCAAACATTTGACAACCAGTACGAATTGCCTGGGAGAACATACGTGTCACAAGCAACAATTCCACAACTGTACAACAGCGTGAATTTTTTGTTAACAGAGACTGAGAGTCCATGTTATTTATTGTTTTCGTTTGTGTTTGGTTTTTATTCCAGTGCATTTTTTGTTAACAGAGACTGAGAGTCCATTTTATTTATTTTGTTCATTCCTTGTGGATATTTAAAATGTCTTCCAGTTCCAGTGTTACATATTGTTTAGAAATAAAAGTTTATTGATCTTTGAAAAGGTGTACCTGCATTATCATGCCATTATCATTATATTAGATGAAAATGGTATCGGAACGACAATATTATCGTTTATCGCGATAATTTCTGGGACAATTTATCGTCCAGCAAAATTTGTTATCGTGACAGGCCTAACAACATAGACACACACACA